AATGTTCTCTGAATGTTTTGAAACCAAAGTTAGCCAAAGTTCTTTGCTGACAATAATCGCTCATTTGGAACCCCCTACACCGTTATCAAAAAAACGTCCTACATCGTTATCAAATTACAATATTTGTGTTATATCATCTGCGCGGTGGACATGACAAATACTGTAAAGTACTTTACTTTCAAATTTAAAATCACAATTACAAAACACACCTTAGTATGGAGGACCAACTCTACCATATTTAAAAATAAATACAGAAATAAATAAATGCTCAATAAATAAATAAGCATACAATGAATTGCCCCCAAAAATACAATAAACAAATAAATGTAGGTAGAAATTAAATTATACAGTGAGACATAAATGTATATACCTCTTTTAATTAGCTTCTTTATTTATTTACCTTTGTAATAATTACCTTATTTATTTATTGTCCATTATAATCTTCAACTTTATTTATTAATTACTTATTTTTTTAAGTATTTATTTATGTGCATGTTATAATATTTTTGTCTGTTTTATTCTTTCTTTGTATTTTTTTACCCTATTTATTTCTTCAATGCTATTTATTTCTGCCTGTCGTTTTTACATTTCTGTATGCATTTCTGCCTCATTATGCAAATGAGGAGGGGCTGTGTCTTAAGGGGTCAACTTCTGCCCATTGGTTGGTTAGCATTTTACTGCATCGGTCGAATCTACATGCCACCGGCTGCGATTTTTTTTTTTTTTGCAGGGTGGTAGGGGAAGACTCATTAATATTCATTAGGGAACTCATCCCTGATTGTCAATTTAAAAGATACATTTTAAAGTCAAGAAAGTCGCAGTTTGATGTAAAACTGTTGAGGTATAAGACTGTGAAAATACGTAATTAAAAAGACTACAAACCCAAAAGGCGCACATTTTCTCTCAATGAATGAAACTAACTTTACTGAAGCTAACGTCTGTCATTTGTTCTATAGTCTTACGTTATAATCGTAACGTTACACCGTCATGCCTGAGTGTTTTGTACCAGACTGCACACACACGAGCAGCGGATCTCGCTCGTTGTTTCGCTTCCCGGGAGAGGTAGTTCATTGAGCGATTTTCACATAAAACTAAATGTCACTCTTCTGTTTTATGACAAACTGCGACTTTCTTGACTTTCATAATTATCTTTTAAATTGACAAACATCATATGTGTAATTCAGGGCACAGTTCAGACGGAATAAAAAGATAAAGTTGTCTCTCGCCATTGACAGACTACCATACATATTTTTTCCTAAATAAGGTCCCATGAGCCGGAAGCGGAGGGGAGGGGCGTTGACCCCTTAAGACACAGCCCCGCCTCATTTGCATAATGAGGCAGAAATGCATACAGAAATGTAAAAACGACAGGCAGAAATAAATAGCATTGAAGAAATAAATAGGGTAAAAAAAATACAAAGGAAGAATAAAACAGACAAAAATATTATAACATGCACATAAATAAATACTTCAAAAAATAAGTAATTAATAAATAAAGTTGAAGATTATAACGGACAATAAATAAATAAGGTAATTATTACAAAGGTGAATAAATAAAGAAGCTAATTAAAAGATATATATACATTTATGTCTCACTGTATAATTTAATTTCTACCTACATTTATTTGTTTATTGTATTTTTTGGGGCAATTAATTGTATGCTTATTTATTTAGTGGCATTTATTTATTTCTGTATTTATTTTTAAATATGGTAGAGTTGGTCCTCCATACCTTAGGGCCTATCTAATCAATATAATCAAAACATTGTATTAGTATAGTTCTATCGGTCTATTCATTGAAAATGCATGAACTGATTTCTGCAACCATTTAAATACCTAGATTGATACTTATGTAATTATCAATTATAATTAGGCCTATCATCAAATAGAAATATCAATCTGTATAAGAAGGAACATTCACAAAACAACTTAGTGACTAAAGATCATAGTTTGAATCTAATATAATGTAAAAACTGTTTTGAAAATCTTTAGAACGCTACAGCTCTCAATCACACTCATCTTCACTTTGTAAACGTGTATATGGAGCAGTTAAAGAACACAAAATTGTAGGAACATTTGAGTACGATGATAAATCTTGAAATATGAAAAAAATTAAATGGAAGCAAAATACCCAGTAATGAAAACATTTGAAACAAATCCACTGTAAAAAAAAAAAAAAAATCCAGTCTCACACACAGCAGCTGCTTTCATGCATGTGACTCGTTGTATCTCTTGACATCATCAGACAAACACCATGAATGTTTATAGCTACATTTAAAGTGCTTATCCTGAAAATATTATTTTTAAGATTGCTTAAGTTAGTCTTAAAGTCCTTTAGAGAAAATGTTTTTTTTTGTCTCCATTACAAATAATAATGTTGACATACATAAGTTGAAATGTAAAAAATAACATGAATGTACCAACAATAAAGGTGTGTACATTAAAAGTGTCACATTAAAAAACAACTAAAAACCACACTCTGGAGATCTATTTTCATGACTGAAAATAGGTATTTAACCCTTTAAGTGTCACCCCCCTTTTTTTGAATATACATGAAAATGCACATTTCGAACTTAAATGGTTGTAATTCAAGAATGCTTTGGAATATAGACGTAAGATTGGTCTTGTTTTAAAGAAGATATTTGGCAGATTCTTGTAGAAGTGAAATAAATTAAGAAAGTGAAATAGAAAAAAAGTTATAGAAGTTTGAGTTTATGAAAATGTACAATGTAAAAAATTTAATTATTCATATTTTATATAAAATATATATTTTCAAAACCTGGGCGACTCTAAAACTGCAAAAAAAATCAAAGCCAAAAATCTGAACAAGTTGTGTTTCAAATTTTAGGTTGATATCTCAAAAAATGAGCTTTCAGTAAGATTTTGTTTGGGCGCAGTACCAAACTTTTTCACTAGATGACAACCAGACTCCATTACTGCCCATATAAGGGCGCCTCCATTTCCATATGTGTTTTGAATGATATGAACCATTATTTCCACAATTTTCATACAATTTATGAAGTAGACATCCTATTCAGAAGTAATATGAGAAGTTTGGCAGATTTTGATATGATTTCAACCTCTAAGAAACATAAAAAGAACACGCATGTGCGTTTTAGCTTCCTGCCACATCATATAATTTTTTTCTTTATATAAAAAAAAAAATTCAGACCTTTTTTTTTAAATAATTGAATGGATGCTATCTTTTGAACTCTTGGAATGAAAACAAACTGAGGTTTCTACCCTTCTTTCATGATTTTTCATGTTCATCACTATTTCAAAATAAAGGTCTAAGAGTATGAAAATATTATTGTTGCAAATTGATAAATTACGGCTCCTCTGTAATTTATTTTGAAAATCAATCACCAAATATGGAAACTAGAGATTGTAAGCTTTCAAATGATATATAGTTTGTCAAGATTAGTTTAGGTTTAGTATAGGATATTACTGTTTTAAAAATGTAAAGGATTTGGGCCCACCGGTGGGCCCGTGACACTTAAGGGGTTAATTACTTAAATGATATATAACATGACAGACGGGTTAAAATGTAGTACTATAGCATGGAGATTTACAGGAACACAATACAAGAAATGTCACAATTAATTGCAAAACAGTGTAGCCGTTTGTTACATTTCTTTTCCCTTTAAACAGAAAAATGATGTTGCCTGATCTTAATGTAGAACACACAATTTTATTTTCCCTCACAGAACAGGAACAACCACTTTCTCTTCTATTTTTTTTTTAACTCAGTTCTACTAAATGAACAGGAAGTTCTGCTTTTGTGAACTTTAAATACTTTATCTGGATTGAAGATATGTGTTTGTATTAGCACAGAGCTGGAGGTAGAGAGATAAGGAAATCTACAATTACAGTCAGAATTTTAAGGATCTGTGTATGCGTTGACAAAATATTAAACAATGGTCTGGGCAAATATACAGACCAATAATTTAAATTCAGTAGCTTAAATTATGAATGTCTCGAAATAATAATTGGCTGGGATTCAGCATGTCACCGTATTTAGTTTTATGACCTAATATCATTTTTATACATAAAAAGTTTGCTCTTCTGCAAAATAGTTGTGGATGCTGAGGTAAAATTTATTTAAAATGAACAGCGTTCACCAGGTTAAACAAAATAATTAGAACAGTATAATCACCTAAACTTAAACAAATATGGCTTGATATTTAGCCTTTTTAGATTCTTAAAGACTATTTACAGATTCCCATCAGTATTAAAAACATCCAATCAGGCGCAATCAGAATGTGTTAGTTAAGTAATAAGAACTGTGGGAACAATGACAGCATATCCTCACTTTAACTAATTTGGAGTTAACTCATTTAATAGTGTTAATGAACAACAGCTGTAGAAGTGAATTTAACCAACCACATAATGATGCTAGGGCAAGTGATAGTATGAAAGGATCACAAAATAATATTCAGGCTTACACATTTTCCATTTCTAAATTCTACATTTTTCCACTTGTAAGATTTTTCATACCATATTTAACATAAATGGTTCATAGAGTATTATTTTCAGCATTATATTTGGTATATAGTACAGTCATCTGTAAATATTATTTTCTCAGGTTCTCTTCATTGGTTTCCTCGAAGTGATAACATGGCCATTGCGCTTATACGATGATTAAAAAAACTAAATCTGCATATATTTACCTCTGACGCATTAGTTTTATACTGTAATCGTGGTTTGATGTTGAATGATCACCAAACAGCAAAGTTCAGTCTGATTAAGGTGATCGTTTGTTCCTTTATCTGTTTCTGGCTTGAATAGCGCGTGCACATTCGATTAGTGAATTTCACAAGAGACGGTAAAAGACAGAGAGCATTGCGAAATTAAAATGTGCCCCTTGAATTTATTCAATTGTGTTTGACAATCACTAAAGGATCACTAAACTTTTGTCATAAAAACACTCTGCTTGTATGATCAATTTATTTTTTATATGATCAAATTATTCTTAATCAAAATCTAATAAAAACAAACATCTCATTTGTATGCATTTATTCCTCTCACTTAACAAAATGTAGATGTTGCGCTGCGCAGTTTCAAAACTGTTTTCAAGTCTCATACTTCCCTATAGCTTTAAAAACTGGAGAGTAGCCACAAATGTCAGCAACAATTTCAGCACAATGACAAATCTTGAGCAAAAAGTGATAAAAATGAAACAGGCAAAAGATACAGACATACTGATAAACATTAATTCTACTTACTTAAAAAGAAGTAAAGCCCAGCTCAATACATTTCCTTTAAGTTTCTGAGAAATACAAATACTTAAAACCACTTCCTGTAGAAACAGAAACTAACAGAATAATTCATGTACTCCACTTGCAGTGCATCAAGTTTTCTGTGTTTTTTCTTCTACATATAGTTGCATCTGTTTACAGGAAAGGAGAAAACACATTTTAAATAATGTTCCAAGACTGTTACTAGTATATACTTTTTTTCTGAAAACACGTGTTACTTTCTTTTTTTACAAGAACATGGTGTTCTGTGTCAATGGAGTAGCTTTGTGGCTACTTTGTAGTGCCATTGCTATGACCCAGAAAATAGAATATGGTCAGAAATACTTTTTTAAGAGTTTAGACACGTGTATTTAATTTAATACTATCAGCACAACAATGATCCAAGAGCATTTTGTGCCAGCAATGAAATCGGACTGTTGGGAAAGTCTCACCTTGAGAATATCGGAAGTCATCGTTTTTAGAGGAATGAGTTTAGCCTCTTCCATGTGAACTTCCTGCTCATCTGCTACAATCCATGGAAAATCCTGTAAAGCCGATAAGACAAGAATGTGCAGAGATGACAGTTTTAGCAGACGAACTAGCAGCATCCTACATCAATTTAAAAAATCTGACCGCAGTTGGAACAAAAGAGTTTTAATAAAGATAAGACTTGCACATCATGACCCTGAATGTAAAATGTGCGTATCATCAGAGACAATACTTTTAGCTTTCTCAATACTATCATCAGACCAAACAGAAACTGTCTTTGTCTGTGGCTTAGGCCTAGTCCTTTTTAAAAGTGTTCTATAAGTTGGAATCAAGTGAATGGTGTTATGATCACAATTCGATAAAGGGGGTTTGGACTTTGCAACGTATGCATCTATCTAAAATCTTATTACCTCAGGTTTCACTTGAATGTGGCTACTGTTGGAGCACATCTCTTTTGGAAGCTGGTTCCAGCTATGAGTGGCATATTAGCTAATAACAATAAACATTTATTTGTATAGCACTTTTGATACATGGAAATGCAGCTCTAAGTGCTTCACTAGCATAAAAACAAATATTGGCAATACAAAATTATAGATTTACAAAATATCAATATAAAAATACTAAAATAATAAAAGGATCAAAAAGTAAAACAAAACCTTATATACACACAATATTGTTATACTATAGGTTAAAGAAACTCTAACCCCGTCTGTATAACATTACACAATCCATTTGAAATAGACTACTTGATCTCTGACCAGTCAAATCCCATACTGAATACCACTATAAATAGGTCAGATACATGGGATGTGCTTGCCTTGCATTATGATCATTGTATATTAAACTTCAGCATTCACTTAAAACAACATTATTATTTATTCAAATCCACCGAATCAATAGGCATTGCAGGACCAATAAGGTCAAACCAGGCCAGCCTATTATAATCAAATTTCCTCAAATAAAAGTTATTCCACATTAGTCAGCAAAATCTCAAGTCTTTTCTTTGTTAGGTTGTTGATATAGCAACTGTTTAAGTGTCAATTAAGTTTCATTCCTTTTTTTCATTCATAATTTTTCTCCTTTAATCCGATATAAAATTCCATGCCGTATTGGGATTTCCTCCTTTAGTATAGCCAAGGTACATTGTAAGATGGAGCAGGTGTAAAACAAACTTGAGCCGTCTTTATCTGAAGTACATTCCTGTCATGAATGACATTCTTCTGTCTAGATGTTGACGGCACATTAAAGCGGTGCTCCCGCAAAGTATCCATAACCCGGGAAGTTTCCAACAAGGTTTTCCGTTCAAATAGCTATTACTGCTTCTTCAATAGCCCCTGTATTTGTGTTTCTAAAACTGAAAGTTCATCTTCAATAGAGTATCTCAAGATCTCTTTGTTCTAAAAACTCCATCCTGCAACACTGCCGCCATGTGGGGAATTAGTTTTAGTTCTTTGCGGACTCGCCTTGCTTTGAGTGAACACTTGATATTTCAAACTGACTTGATCCTAATGATTTTAGTGATCTGTTGGGTTTATATTTAGTGAGCATATCTGCAATGTAGTGAGGTCCTAGGCCATGGAGTGATTTATATAAAAAAAAAAAAATAGTACTTTAAAGTCAATTCTAAATTGAGCCAGTGTGAAGACCTGGGGACTGATGTGATGTGTTCATATTTTCTGGATCTGCTCAGAGTCCTGGCAGCAGCATTCTGTATGAGCTGCAACTGTCTTATGGTCTTTTTGAGGAGTGAGGAGTCCATTACAATAATCCACCCTGCTGGTGATAAAGGCAAGAACAACTTTCTCTAAGTCTTGACTGGATACAAAATATGTAATTCTTGAAATATTTTTGAGATAATAGTATGCTGATTTAAGGTAGTTAAATGCTGGTAGTTATGCTGTGACATAACTACTGTCTGGCTAGATTCCTGACTAGATTATTATTATTATTTTTTTTTACCCCTAGAGGGATTGCATTCACTTTGAGAACTTCATCTTTGTTTCCAAATGCAATGACTTGTTTAACTGAAGAAAGTTTTGGCACATCCAACAGTTGATTTCATCAATGCATTAACACAGGGAAATAATAGGGCTGTAGTCGTTAGGCGAAAGGCGAAGTAGATCTGGTGTCATCTGCATAGCTGTGGTAAGCAAAGTAAGTCTTAACTCCAGAAAAGATTGAAGATGTCAATAAAGTTCAGTCCCCTTATGTTGCATGTTTTTGCAGCCACGGATTTAGACCAAGCAACCTTGAAAACATATTAGTTTCTCTTTTTGAGAGTGAACGACTGCATTTTAAGCTTTCCAAGTGTTTCAAAGAGACAGCAAGAAATTATACTTCAAAGACTGCAAGTGCACATGAAGCGTTCCATTTGGGACAAGGCCTAAGACTTCACATCAGGTTTGCATGAAAGCTTGTTTCCACCATGGAATAAAAAAAAAAAAAAAGAAGGTAATTGTGACTTTTTATCTCACAATTCTGACTTAATTAATTAAATGTTTTACTCCATGGTGCAAACAAGCTGGCATGCGTTTGCATGTAACGTTTTTGTTTTTGGCCTTCTGGCAAGATTCACTTAGATATCCAGTCAACAGAGTGAGCAAAAGAAAAGAAAAGAAAAGAAAAGAAAAGAAAAGAAAAGAAAAAAGGGGTTTTAACACACCTTGATGACCTGAACTTTTTCCATGTTTCTTGTGGCAGCTTCCCTGGTGTGTACCAGCACTGTGAATGTACATCCTGCGGAGAGAAAATAAGCACAGTAATGTAAATCTATTAAAACTTGATTCAATAAGTGTAAGGTCATTATCCGGGTAGTTTGGTTTGTGGTGAAGGCTGAGCACCTACCTGGAGGATTGGTGTCTAGAACAGCGTCACACACACTGATTTTTAGAATCACAGCTCTCAGAAGCTGCTCCACATGGGACAGCAGAGTCTCTGAGCTGACATGGAAAAAAATCATACACGTATGAAAGACATGCACAATGTTTGCTTCAAAAACACTGAACCGACTGTCACTCACCTGATGGACAGCAGTGGAGGCTGTGAGATCTCAAACACAAATCTCTCCACTGGATGATGCTCTTTATCCATGATCACCACTACAACCTTCTCAGCCTCATTCTGCACAAACAACATCAAACATGTCTTATCCACTCACTTATGTTTTGTAAAGATGGAGCAGTTTTATATTATACTGCTTAACCTGTTTTTTCTTTCAAATGTGTACATTAATCAAAAATTTTATAAAAACTCACCTTCTCTATCAATGGCTTGACACAATGGAGCGTGTCTTGAATGTACTGATTTAAATCAGGATGGCATGACATCTGTCAAATTAAATAAGTGGTCAAATAATTTCTTCCATTCAGCACTACCTTTGGACTCATGACTAATGTTATAAGATGCCCAAAAACATTGATTTAAGAGTACATTACAGAGCTATCATCAATCTTAAAAACCTTACCTGCACAGGAACGTTATATTTCTTCCTTTTCTGAAAGATGCCAGACGGATACACTTCTCTGACATAGAGGATGAGGTGAATGGCCACTTCCAAAAACTCACACAGAATGTCAGCAACAACTGCAAATGACCAATATAATCAGAATACTCACAATTGTGTTATTTGAAAGATGTACCGTGCAGTAAATTTACCAATGAACTGCAATTTACCTTGGCCAAAATTAAGGTCCTGCCTTGTCAGAGTTGCCATAGTGAAATCGCCAAAATAGATGCAACAACCTTTAATTAACTGATGATAGTCTCACATGTCAGCGATCATGCATATGGTTGCTTCAGAATATCTGTGCATTCATTAATAAATGCGAGTCCTCTGAGAAAAATCCTAGTGCAATACATTCAGTGCTATAATTTGAAAAATGTCAGTCATCCGCAAATGCACATTAAATAAACAAACATTTAATAAAACAAGGCAGCATCTCCTAAATGTTTTGATTCTTGAAGGATCACGATGTTTACAATTTTCTTCTGTAATCTGCAGTAGAATAGTAGCGCTATATGGTTTATGTGATTCTGCTGCCACCTACCGGAGTGGATGAACGTGACAAAGCTCCATGGCACTTTAACCAACAGGGGTGTGGTTTTGAGAATCTTTATTATACTCACTTTTTTGTGTGTGAATGAAAGGAATATACTAGTGCGATTATTAAATATTATATCTCATAGTATGCAGTAAGTAAGTAAGTTGGCAGTAAGGCCTAGTCAGAGATCACATAAAATGCATGGTTAAAGAACTAATTCTCTGTAAAATACTTGGCTGTTTTCACCCCCTAAAGTGAGTAAACTGGCAGGTGAATAATGAAAAGTATTAACATCAAGGAAAGACTACTATGATAACTCACGTGTATTAAATTCTGCAGGGATTTCATAAGATTTAACTTGTTTATATAAAGATAAGTTGATGCTTTTAATGAAATATTTATTTATTTAATATACTAGTTCTTCACAATAATAAGCCTACTTCCCTCAGGGAACAAGACAAGTTTATTTTTATTAACCAAGACAGCAGTTTAGGTATTTAATTTATGACGGGCTCGGGCTGTGAGCAAAGGTTACCCAAACGTCCTCGTGGACCCACTGCTCTTTAGGATTGACGCACATAAGACAGTGTGAGAGGCTAGGATTTGATGACTTCCCAGTTGATGTCCTGAGAACGTGTGAGTATTCAAATTATGCTTCGATCGGAAGACAGATTTGCAAATAAAGCAAATTCATTCTATCAATATTTTGATTGTAACATTAATGTGATGCAGCACAAACTTAAGGATCTTGGGGGGAAAACAACCACAACTCTTTAAGAGGGAAACACTCAATATAAATACACAATAGCAGCTGTATATACTTCTTCATGTAATGGACCTTAGTCACTAACATAACATGATTCATATTATTCATTAACTCTTCTTTATCATTGATAACTGAACTACTGAATGATTCACTTTCCAACGCACAGCCAAGCCCATTACCTGAAAGTAAACTTGAAATGATTTTATGTCTAAAAGTAGCAGGGTAAGTTTGAACAAGTTTGCTAGTATAGCTTCTCCTTTTTATTTACTTTCTTTTTTAGCTGACTAGGAGCAGACAGCTGGAAGGAAATGGAGTCCAATGAGGCCAGTGTTCAGTACAACCGCTGGAGTGAAGACAACATGAATATGCCAGTACCGCAGTCACAGTCCAGACTGACTGGGTGAGAATCCATGATTCTAGTTTTCAGAGAACTGAAAAATAAACAGTGTTAAAGCAAAGCTTCATAAGTTGTTATTGGAGTCAATCAGAAAACTCATGTCAATCCCATCTGTGCCCATATAGACTCTATAACAGGCTGTGCACTGGACGGCTGGGTATCGTACTGAAAGTGGCAGCATCGTTGACCGTGATGGTAGTTATATACATAGTTGGATACATCACAGGATACTACGTTCACAAATGCTGACGAGGACACTCCACGTATCTGGAAGGAACTGGATATTGAAAAAAAAAAAAAAAAAAAACTGGCTCTTTTTGGAAACATGAATTATGTCCATAAAGGAAACATTGTATAAGAGTTTATCAACATTTATCAATATTTTTTGGAATGTGTCATTCTGCATCACAGACAAATGCATTACATTTATTTTTAACTCAATATATTAACCAATTAAATATAACAAATAAACAAAAAACAAATAAATAAAATTCTTCAGGAAAAAAAGTGATGTCAGTGATCTCACCATCTCATATTCAAAAGAACATCAAAGGAGTCTCAACAGATATAGTCAGCTATTATGGCAATATAAAACATTCTAAAGTTATATAAAAAAAACAGTAAACACTTTACAATGAGGTTCAATTTGTTAACATTATTTAATGCATAGTATTTATTAATCTACACAGTAATATTAATTCCTATTCAAAAATTAAAGCCAGTAAGACATTTTTAAAGAAATGAATAGTTTTAGCAAGTATGCATTGAATTGATTGCTGTTCTGTTGAACTTTTATTAATAAAAGAATCATGAAAAAATGTTTCCACAAAAAATCTAGCAGCACAACTGTTTTCAACATTGATAATAACAATAAGAAATGTTTCATGAGCACAAAATCAGCATATTAGAATGATTTCTGAAGGATCATCTGAAAATTCAGCTTTGCCATCACTAAATTAAAATTTAAATATATATTAAAAAAAGAAATCAGTTACTTTATTTCAAAATATTACCATTTTACTGTATTTTTGATCAAATAAATGCATCCTTGTGAAAAGTGACTTTTTTCTTACTGACCCCAAACTTTTTTTAAGCAATACTACTTTTCATGTTGAAGTTACAGTTTTAATAATGATCATGACACCTAATGCTTTAACTGTTGTTAACTAACTAAACATTATTTTACACTGTTAACAATTAACATTACACATAGACATCAGTCATGGTCATAAATGATTTTAATAGTATCCACATCCTGCTCTTCTAGTATTTGATCAATAATCTCATCTTTTAATGGAGAAAACAAGCTTGCGTTTACTTTGACGATCCATGTGATCCTTTGGTTAGTATAATACTCGTCCTCCTGATTGTCTATCATTTCATTCACGTCCTTCTCATTTTCCATCTCAATAGCCGAATCTGAGAGCGTCTGCACAGGTCTGCCCTTAGATACACTCGCAGAGTCCTTCATCCCTTCTGTCATCGCTTCTCTCTCATTGGCATTGACATTACTGGGCTCTACACCCAGAAATCCATCCTGTAGCTGCCTTGCTGATGGATCAGAAATCTTCAAGCTGTTCTGTCTCAGTTCTTGGTTTTGAACCAGCACGCTCTCATTAAAGACAGCCAGCCCGTTGCAGATCAGCTGACATCCTTGCTTTTGTCTGCTGAACAATGCCTTGTCCATCTTTATGCTGGTGGACAAGATATTGGCTTTCTTCTCCTGACATTCTACCTCCCAGCTTGGCACACAGTTTTTTGTGCAATACATGGAGATGGTAGACATTCTTGGGCTGTATATTGGAGGCAGTGAGCTACTCTTTGCCAAAGTCCTGCCATCGTTCCCCTTCGGCATTAAAATCTTCAGAGTTTTGCAGGTTTGATCTTTACCATTGCCAGCCAATTTCCCCCCTAATGATAAATGGTAGGATCCCTTTTTTCCAATCAACTCCAGACAAATAGGCACAGATGGGCTGGAGGTCTTCAATGTCTCAAGCTTATGGAAATTCTCATGGATGCCATTATGAGTTTTGTTAGATCCACTCTTCCATCTTGTCCTGTGGTCCCGATTGTCATTCCTCTGGTCACTCTGGGTCATTTTCATTACTTTTTAAATAGTCTGCTGTCAATGTCATGTGGCATGATGGACTGTCCCGTGAGACAGAGTCCTGCTTGCATCTCTTATAGACAGCTCAGACTTACTCTCCTCCTCTTTACATTTCCCGAGTCCGCCAGTCATCTGATCTGTAACCAAACCCGAAGCATTCATGTGCTCCACAGGCACAAACAAACACAGGATGAAAATAATGCTAAGTGTTTACTAAAAATGTTTGAATACGTGCATTTTTAAAAATGGTTAATGCTAACCTTACTTACTAACTAGTTTGATGCAGATGTTTCCCTTCGGACTAAAATTCCTTACGGAAAGTCGACCTAAGTGCATAAACATGATATAGGAAGATTTATTTCACTGTATAATTCTATTACTCTCCCAATGGAGAAATTCAGTGTAACATGGGAAGTTGAAAAAAAATTGGACGTTTATTTTATTGACAAGGGCAAAGTAATAACTATTAAATCATATTAGTGTTCCATCAAAAAAAAACTTGTTGCTTTATGTTTTGTTTTTGTTGCTATGGGTATACTATGTATATTTTATTTCCATAAAGTGCAATGAAAACTTAAAATGTATGGAAGCCTGTTTCCACCTCATAGTAGAAAATGTAAATGAAGGATAAAGTGTAAAAAAGGAAATTAAATCACATTGTGAGATATAAAGTCAGAATCGCTTTTATTTTTTTTAGTGCTGAGGTGGAAACAAATACAAAAAGATATCTTAGGGAGTGTAAATGAAAACCACTACATACAATATTTAAATTAATGTTTTAATTTAATTAGAGATAATTATGCAATTTTATGGGTTCAAGCATTACAAAATTACAAAGAAAAAACATCAACAGCTGAATTTAGTTATCGGATGACTGATAAATTGCTGAGGTCCGACACCAGGTCAGTTTTTGATGGGTAGACCACTTTAAGGTTTCCCTCTACATCAAAGACCTTCACTTGTAAAACAGTCAGCTCAGGGGTGGCCGGGTTCTCCGCGGGACGATCTGAAATCACATCCGTCTCTTCGTCCGAGCCCACATCGTCCTTTATGTCAAAGCTTAATTTATTAAGCTCTGCCATTTTCTGAAAAAGAAACAAGAATAGTCAGAGGAAATTCATGACTATTACTGCTGTTGTCCATTGTAAACTTTCATAGCTTGCAAAAATGCTGCAATGAATGCTTAAGGAAAATGCTTTTTTAGTGTGCAAGTGCCTTAGGTACTTTAGAGTAGGAAACTATGTGAAAACAGAAGAACACATTTAAACATGCATTTAAACAGCAGAGTAAGTTTGGAATAGCATAATTGTTGATGAAAGTCAATTGAATGCAATGACAAAGCTCGATAACTGATTTAATGTCACTAAAAGTGTGTTGATTCAAAGAGTCTTATGTTGTCTTATATTAAAATATTCAGTAGTTATTTGAGCTGTCGTAAAAAAAGAATGTACGAAAGTGGGACAGGTCATTTGTATCATGGAGGAAATCTCACAGCTGCAATCTAAACCAAATCCTTGGTTTTATCTTCCATGTCACGTTTCACGGATTTCCATTAAGTCAGGTACATTTTTTTAATTACAAAAAATGGAACATTTTAAAAACAAAACAAAACTATAATTTAGGAACATTAATTAAACTAATAGGACAACTTGAATAATAAAATCAGCAGCATTCAGGGGCTCTGGAATTGTATTTTGTGATGGTGCAATGCCTCCGAGACACTGTACACCAAGTGTGTGTGTCTCAGCAGAAAGATGAGCTCATTTCTTCCACAAGGGTATCAGCATTCAAAAGCTGTGCATTCAAATAGCATAACAGCACTAATCCAATCCTGCACTCTTACAGGGCAGACTCAAATCAGAGCCCTTACTGTAGAGTAGGTCAAATAGTTCATATAAAAATATATATATTATTTACAGCAGAGCAATACTAGTATATATCAATTTGAAAATGAAAATCAGACAAAATATTGGACTGACTGGACTGATATTGAAAAAGGATTGATTTAGTTGTGCATATTTGTGATAAAATTTATATTATGTTCCTATGTGAATAAAATAAACACAAAATGGTAAATTAAATATATTTAAAAAATATAAAATAACACTCTAGTGGTATCTTACTATTATCAGTGCATCCATGACATCTTTACAGATCAGCAGACTGGTGGAGCTCGTCACTTCTAAAAACAGCTCTTGTGTGCTTTTCTTTATCTGCAGAGACAGAAGTTTATTAAAAATGCTGTTTAGCAAAAAACTATTTTAATACATAATAATCACAGACATTTTGTCAGTTACTCTTCTCTTTTAAATACATTTGCATTGGCAAGAATGTATGAATATATCACTGCTTAAAATTTTTTTATTTATTTTTGTCATGACCTACTTTTAAAGTCCTTCTTGAGAAGAAATAGTAATTGTCATACACAAAAACCTCGCATAAAGCCATAAAATCAGTAAAGTCTGATTAGGTCATCCACCTTCATCATCAAGACCTGAAATAACCTTGGCATATTTCACTTCATTTACATAAATTACCTTAGTCCTCTCACTGTTTGTGATTGGTGGAAATGAGACCACATGATCATCTGCGTCAACCAAGCAGGGGTAGAGATCTTTTCCATCAAGGAGTTGAAGGTATCTGGGGGTGAAAAATTAAAAGTTGGGGATACGTCCATGAAAAGCTGAATAATAAATAACGCTGAATAATGAGATCAGTATTTGCACTTAGTGTTCTGTGCAGCCAATGCAATTACATGGATGAAATTACACCAATTACCCACAACAACATAATAGGTGTCTGACAAACGAGGGATATTTTTCAGATCACTTAGAAAGGGATCAGATAGCAAACAATGCATTTTGGGAGCATAACATAGTCCCTATTTTCTGCAATTGGAAATAATGTCACATTTAGTTTTCCACAAAACCTTCTGCATTCTTTTGCTTGAGAGATTGTGCCCCCTAATGTTTCAATCTGTACACAAGTCATTATAATATTAAATAAATCACAGCAATTTATATTAAATAATCAGGAATGTAATGCATGTCTTCTCACTTGTGGAGTCCAGAAACGTTCTGTCGCTTTTTCTGTTTTCTCTGTTCATCTGCTTCCTGTTGAAGATGCTTCAGCAGGTCGGATGCCTTTATCTCCTTACGACCCAGAGGAACTATCTACACATATTTCCAAAATAAAACAATTAATATATGACAATATTATCAAAGTACTGTGCTGCAGGTATGTTTACATGTGGTGGTAATGTTTCAATGAAAATTTGTCATTAATAATTTCATTATGTAGCAAGCAAGCATTTTATAAACCCAAAAGGGATTTGAGGACGTGCTATACTCTGAATATAGTCAGCTGAAGGAGTTTGTCACTATTTATATTTCTGTCAATATATACAGTAGCTCTTAGCTTATTGCTTAAACCTGTTCTCTAGCGTATAAATGAAACCATCAATTACGAGAATGAAGCCACGTAACACATCCTATTGTCCTACTGCCTGTGGCCTCTTAGAGAGGTGCCGAATTCACTGTCAACACAAAAGAAACAACAGCGAGAAAAAGGACTGTTCATTTATTATTAAAAACTGAGGATTATGGGACTTCTCTGTGCCATTAGTCAGCTGGTGGCTTTGAAACCAGATTCCCGCCATTCATAAAAACTGTATCGACAACGGTTATCAAATATTCATTGTTCCTTCATTGTTTAACTGTTATGCAACTAGTGGAGATGCTCTGATTGATGAGTTACGCAACAAACTAGAGAGACGTGAAAGATCATGATTGTTTAATTGTGTTGAATTAAATATTTATTCTAATATGAGGTATAAATCAAAAAAAGATACACACAGAGTGATAAAATGCCTTGGGTACCTTCAGTGTATCTGGTGACCTGGCGTCATACGTCAGAGGAGCCTTTAGTAAGCCCAGGTCATGGGTTGCAATGGTTGCCGTTGTCCTTTTGGCACAAATCTCATCATGAAGTTTGGTCTGCAGACAGGATGGTAATACATTAATATTTAAAGAAGCTTATATAAAATGAATCAGAAACAAACAGACAGAGAGAATACAATATGTTTGATGGCTGAGATATTTGTTGTAACTTGTGTCACCTGAGCAACTAGAAATCGCTTGAGTGAATTTCCTTGTCTGAGGTTCATGCCTTTCACAATACAGCACACTATGTATGGCCGGACATCCTTAATGCCTGCGGAAACTTTCACCGTAACAGCTGTGGGCGCTTCGGATACGTGAAGAACTCTCACAACCATCCGATTAAGCTCATCCACTTCCTCTGCCTCTTTTTTGCCTTTCTGCTTTGCAGCGCTTTTCTTCTTGGAGACGTTACGGCCAGCGTCGGCCTTCTCGCCCACCTCTCCATCTTGCTGCTTGCCTTTGCCTTTCCCCCTCCCTCCTGCCCTCAGGTAGTCTAGGACTGATTTGGTCTGGCAACCATTCACCATCTTCTCAAGCCTCTTGTCCTTCAGCTTGTTCCCTTTAAAATTGGTCTCTTTCAGCTTGGTGCAGTCGGCCAACTCGAACGGAAGCTCTTGGAGCTTGTTGCTGGAGAGATCCAAAACCTGAGATAGGCGAAAGTGGGATACACGAGAAGATTAAGACATTCAACCCTGGCATTTTAAATAATATTAATGCATATTAATATACAGTAATGGCCAAATATTCCAGAGACCACTAGTGAAATGTTTGCATCTTCTATTACTTTCAAATTTATTAATTTAGACATTTTAAATGAGTTACAAATTATAATTCTATTTTATTTAAAAAAATTAAAAATAATCCCCCAAATATTTCTAAATAATACATTTTATCAGATTTTTTTAACTGAGTATATAATACACCCCCTAAAATCTTTAAAATTAGTTTTGGGGGGGGAAACCCCACAAAACTGATTCCTTATTTAAAAACTAAATTATTAAAAATCAATTGATTACTTTTATTTATATTTAAAAGGTCTAAAAGTCTGAGACCATAAAGTGGAATGCTTCTGTTTACACATTACAAATTATTGGCCTATTATCAGAGAAAGAATTGTATATAATATTTTAAGTACATTATACACCACCTACAATCTTTAGAATTACGTCTAAAAATCACAACTGATTATTGATATTTATTGAACACTAAATGGTTAAAAAAATACACCCATTTAACATTATTTTCTAATTTAATAATAAATAAATAAATAAATAAATAAATAAATAAATCATTACAAATTGTAGGGCTATTATCAACATTTAACATTATTTTCAAATTTAATGGGGAATAATTTGTAAAAAAAAAAACATTACAAATTATAGGGCTTTATCAGCATAAAAATGGCTAAAAATATATTAAAATGTTTCCATAAAAATAAATACATAATATTATTAATAATAATAGGAAGTTGTGTTTTACAAGTTGTGTTCACAACTGATTACAACTTGTATTTATTAAACAATTTACATATTCAATTCAAAGATAGTATCATTTTCAAGTGGATTTCTCCAATCAATGAAACACACCTTCAGTGCAGCCAGCTTATGAACGTCCCTGCTCAGCTCCTCTATCGCGTTTTCTGATGCAATAATACTGCTGAGGAGCTCCAGGTTGGAGCACCATAAGTCTTCTGGAAGCCGTGAGAGCGCATTTTTGGACACATTGATGCTGGCGAGCTTCACACACTTGCTCAGACCATCCGGCAGAGCAGTGATGCTATTGCAGCTGACATTTAAAGTGTTGAGCTCGCTCAGTGCACAGATCTCCTCGGGCAGAGCCTGCAGCTGGTTGACAGACAAATCCAGGACTTTGATCGCCTTCAGATCACCGATGCTTTTTGGGACTGAAGTGAGTTTGTTCCTGCAGAGAATCAGACTCTGTAGATGAGACAGATGCCTGATGTTCTCGTGGATCTCATGTAAACTGGGACATTGACTGATCTCCAGGTAGTTCAGGAGCGAGAGGGAATAAAGTCGCGGGTGAAGTCCGCAGCTGTCCTGGATCTTTTTGTCAAACGCCGAACCTTGAAGCACCAGCTCTCGTCTGTTCTCCTTTTCTGCTTTTTCTATTTCTGGCCAATTAGCCAAAGAGCTGTTTTCTTCAGCCATGCTGTTCAGTGTAACCCGGAACGTGAATATAACCCGGAAGCGCTCATCTAGGTGGCAGTTTTTCATAAAAATTTTTTTACAGTTAAATCAACGTTATAAGTATTGTATTTTTTAAAGGAAATGTTCATATTACATATTTTTAAAGTTACATCTTACACGCTGTTTTAAGATAATACACCTCCGTCTAGACTCATTCTAAAAGAACTACAAGTAACAGCATCCCGTTCTGCACGACAGCCTGAAGTTTTGATTCACCCTAGTGACTCGAATCTTTTGAATCTGTTCATATAAAAGATTTGTTCAATGACTTTTCATGTAACGTCATACACCAGTAGGTGACGAAGTGGATTTTCTTTGTCTCTGTTTGTGTTCGTGTTGGGTTGTGCTGCTTTTGTGTTATTTTTTACAGTCTATGGTGTTAACACAAACACAATAAATACTCAATGGGATATACGTACTGCAAACCGGGTAGACCTTATTTAACAAAAGTACTGTAGCTGCTACATTGAACTGAACCAGCGTCACTATGGTGAACGAGAACGATTCGTTCACCTAAAAGATTCATTCAGAATTAATTCAAGTACGAAAAAACACTCGCGCATGCGCTCAGGTCTCAGTTGTCAAACGGTGGTTATGGAGATGAACGTAGGCAACTGCTATATTTGGGTAAACCGCTTTGAAATTTCTTCTGTCAAATAGTGAATATTAAGAGTGCCCTATGAATGAATTGTTCTGAGCTCTATCTGGTTAACGTGTGGTTTGTGATAAAGATCCTTGTTGCTGTTTTGGTAGTGTTGTAACCGTAATGTTACTGTTTGATTAACGTTGACGTTAGCTAGATTGCACGCTAACGCTAAATACTTTACATAAAAATCATTGTTAAACTTATGATTAAGGTCCTTCATAACATGCAGCAAAATCTGAAAACATATGCAATATTTAAGTGTAGACCACTTATTTTACAGTGTTACAACAGGTATTTACCAATGTGGTAACTTAATGGACTATTTTCTAGCTAAGTTACAAATGCGTTAACATACATTTCATTGTTATTGTCTAATTAATTTTGTAGTTCATTTTATAAATGTTATCTTTGTGTATTTTCTTTTCTTAGCCAAAAGACAGTTTGATTCTAGAGATAATTAGTTACTCTAAGCTCCCTGCTGAAAAATCCACCATAAACCAGCAGAAAATTCCATGTTGGTCCAGGCTGGATTATGCTGGTTAGAGCCGGTGTAGTGCTGGTCTAGCTGGTCCATCAGCACTCCTGCTGGTGCATGAAAAATAAGGAATTTTGCCAAATTACAGTTTGTTTGTATCTTTTGTTTGAGTGCTGGGTGTTATTTCAATGTGTCATGAGTGCTTTGTGATATTAAACATCATGTTGTGTTCATATCCCCATTAGATCTCAGGAACGGGATGCCTCATAAGATAGGCTTCACTGTGATCAGCTGGTCTGGTCATGAAGGAAACTACAGTGCCAAAAAGCTGATGGTCCACGCGCCCACCGTCACTGGCTGGAGATCCACTAGGTTAATGAATTTTGTATTAGTTGTGTACGGATATATTTTATATTTGCATCTATTTTACTTACGGTTAGAATCAAAGACAAACTATCAAAGTAGGATAGATTACTTTGATACATTAGAACTATCAAGGCTATTTAATAGCTGATAATAATTGCTTTATTAGCTGTTTATAGTTGCTATTACCAAATATTACAGTTCTGAAATGCTCTTTAAAAAATATTTAATTGTAATTATTGTGTGTAGGTTCTGTCCATTCCCTCAGGAAATCATTCTGGAGTTGGTTGAAAGATGTCGCATAAGGAAACTCCAGCTACTGGCCCATCAGTACCTGGTCCCGTCCAAGATCGAGTTCCACATTGGAGATAGACTACCAGAGTCCAGCTCACATCAGCAGGCTAATATTCTCCATAGATTGGGGTGAGGAAAGATTTAAACATGTTCTGGTTCTCTGTTCTGGTCACTATCAAAGGATAATGTGATCAATAAGACTGTATTGAATGCGCTGTGTTGTTCAGGTATGTGTCTCTGTCTGACAATGAGAAGACTGGTTTCAAAGCCAGAGAGCTGAAGTCAGTTCATGTTGATGCTGTTGGGTCTTACCTGAAGCTCACCTTTCACAGAAACCATGTTAATCAATACAACAACTACAATCAGGTACAAACAGATTCACATGGGAAATTAGGGTAGATTTGTTTATTGTAATTATGTCATTGTAATGTCATATGTTTTCCTAAATTCTAGGTTGCATTGGTGGCTCTAAATATTTTGGGTGACCCTGTGGATGGAAATGACATTGGAACAGCAGTAAGTAACTGTTTGTTTATGGAATTGTTCTCTTCACGTCCCCCAGGTGGCGATGGATTACTGTTAATCGTTTATTTGATGTCTCAAGGGGGGAATGTTCAGCTTCCCACTTTTTTTTTAGAGACTTTTCCTCATATGGCTGCACAACCAAAAAATGTAGCATAGGCTTGATTTTTTTTCTGTTTTCTAAACTGTGGCTTGATTCACCAGAGACAAATGTTGTGAATGAATCCTTAATGTTTGGCTAAGCATTTGGATCAGTGTAGTTCATCATTCAGAACTGAATCGAGAATACTTTTGAATTCTAGTTTAGCTCCTGAATTTGATTTAGACTTTAATTTGAGGAAGTAGAATTTAAATAGTACGAAATGTAATTTACTCTCAGAGTATTTCCAGAAACATTAATAATGTAAAATAATCAATGTTAAATGTCACCTATAGAAATTTGTATTCAATTTTTATATTATATTTTAACCCTCTGGGGTCTAAGATGTTTTGTCTTGAGATGTTTTGACATGCCCTGACATTTGTGCTTTTTTCAGTTGCTTATAAACATATTAATGGCACAGGTGAAATTACACTCTATTTAGCACAAACAGGGCTACCATGATATGTGAGCAACATGTATGTACATGTTTGTATTTTTGAGAGAATATTGTTTATGCATGGTTATTGAAAAAACAAAAAATTAAAGTTTCTGAAATAAGGCCACAAAACACATACTAAATATGTGTCCACAAGACTTTTGACTAATGGATGTTGTCGCCTAAAGTTTTTGCTTCAAAATGATCTGAAAATCATCCTATAATCTATCCAAAACTAGTCAACGAAATGTTTTCATTACAGACACTATTCTATATCTCGAATAGAACAAATCTCAGTAGGCTATAGCAATATAGTTTGGATGTGTTCATGTAAAAATAACGTTTACTAATGTAGGAGCGAGAGTGAATGAACGCACAGATGCGATGTACAGCTGTAGTAAACAACATCGCGCGCGCGTCTGTGCCGTTCATTCATTCATTCACTCACACACAGACATGCAATTCATATTTAAACAGTCTTTGTGCAGTTTACAGACACTATTCAATAACGCGATTAGAACAAAGCACTTAAGAATAAATAACTTACTACATCAGCTGAATCTGTGCTCCTCGAAATGAAACTACCAGCACTTCTGATGTAACTTTTCCAGGATTATTACGATAGTATTATTCCTCACAGCGCAAGCAAGACGAGGTAAAGTACAAGATTCTTATTAAACTGGATGTTTTATCCAGCTGATGTGGGCATTGGCTAGCCTGATAATACCAAACTCTGCTACTTCGCTTTGCTTCTGGCATGTCATCATTGAAAAGTGTTTTCTTTCTCGCGTAGGGGCGCTTGTCTGAAGTATAAAATCATTGGTTACCCGTAAGCCAATCACATAACGTTTGGTTATGACGTGTGTTATTCGCCAGCTCAGCCGCATCGAACTTCCACTGTAAACACATGTATATGATGCGAAAACGAAACCATCTAGCGAAATACCGGAGTGAACATGGCTGACCGAGTTTTGCTGCCTCCTTAACCTGATCCTCCATGAGTGCAACCAAGGGGGACACAATCACAACTATCGCCTTGCCGGCCTTTGGCCTCCCCAGTTTCTCGCTGACGATCGGTAATATTTGATAAATTAAACTTTTACCAAAACCGTTCGGGAGTAGGGCCACGACATCACCTCCATTCAAAATGTTTAACAAACACTCTTCTTGTTCAGGCTTCAGTTTGGAAATGCCAGGAATATTCTCCACAACAGAGCGAATTTCATCCCGTGTCTCCATATCCGCGGCCATTTTCGATTTCCCCAATCTTAAACTCTGCGCTTAGCGTCTACGTCACGGCTCTCAGCCCGCCCTCTGTTCGTTGATTGGCCGGCTGTTTTCAGGCCGGAGGAAAACAGAGACATGTCGATGTCTCAGACTAAGTACAGAAGCGAAATGAAATTGAGCGGAAGTACGAAGTCTGACGTAGTCAGGCTAGGCATTGGCATGGCTTGCCTCAACATTTGCGTTTGAATAGCGCGCGCTCTCAGTGGGCGTGGTCACATTAACACGTAATAAGCTATAATGAGCTGAAAGGAAAAAGACTGACATCTCTCTGTTTTCATACAGATTACATAAACTGAGAATATATATTTTTTATGTATAAATTGCTTCATTTAAAAGAAGTGAATTTCAGCTTCATAACAAAAAATCTTCCGTGCCTGTGTGACAAGTATTCACTGAGTTACAGTTCATTTTCGGACACGTTTCAGAATGAACTTCACTGACAGAGAGAAGGCAAAATTCGCATCATGTTTATTTTTCTTTATTTGACAAACAGCAGAACACTTTGTTTTTATTGTGAGTATCCACAAAAAAAATAGACACTTAACAGGATCTAATGATGTACAACACTTATATGTAAGATCAAAATCAACAGAGTAATTTGAGTCTCTTTTGCACTGATAAGGAAAAAAGTGAGCTCGTCGCGCCGGCGCGATAGCCGACCCCAGAGGGTTAATTTATATATTATAAATTTAATTTTCAAATATATAGCAAAAATATATTATGTTTTGTTTGCGGTATTAATTACGTTGACAGTATAAGTTCATCAAAAAAAATTTGTTCCAAACCTGTATGAATTTCTTTCTCCTGCTGAACACAAAATAAGATATTTTGAAGAATGTCGGTAACACACAGTTTCTGTTCCCCATTGACTTCCATAATGGGTTTTTTTCTCCATACTATGGAAGTCAATGAGGTCCATCAACTGTTCGGTTACCCGTATTCTTCTTTTGTGTTCAGCAGAAGAAAGAAATTCATACAGGTTTGGGACAACTTGAGGGTGCGTAAATGATGACAGAATTTTCATTTTTTGGGTGAACTATCCCTTTAACTAAATAATGATTTGTGTTGGGGTGAAAAGGGTGTTATTGTTTTGGACTATTGTAATTCCTCGGCTTGCAATTGCAAACCATTTGCTGTCATTCCGGTTTGGATTCCACTTAATTAAATTTAGATTCTACCTTGTGAATTGAAAGAGACAATTATTAGATACAAGTTTTGTCTAACCCTATTTGGATGCTTCATTACCTCATACCTACCACTAAATGGATCTGCATCAATCTTAATACTTGTATACATCAGTTTTTTTAGGGACTTGAGGGTTAAATATTAATTTCACATTTAAATAGTCTTACATCAATAGCACACAACGAGCATTTCTGTATGTGTGTTGTGGTTCTTGAGCAGGTCTAAAGGTTTGTGCTCAGTGTTGGAATGTGAATCTGTGTAATATGAGTCTGAGCTCGATAAGCAGAGCTTCAAATCAGATCACTCATCAATATATCTACATCACTGTGACTCTCAGCCCTCCCCCATCTCCTATTCACTCACTCCTGCTCCCCCTTTTTTCTTTCTCATGCTCTCTTTCTCCTCTTACTCTCACCTTGCCCCCCCTCCCCCCCCCCCCCCCCCCTTTCCTCTATGACTTCCTCTCTCTCTCGTCCTCTCCCACCTTGCTAACAATCTCTGCATTGTTAATCTCTAATCCATCTCTCTCTCTGTCCAGGCTGGAGTCTTATTGTGTTATCCAGGACTCTGATGATAATACGTTTTGGTTCACAGGCAGAAATCAAGATTTTTAACCTTTGTTGGAAAGATAATAATGGTTCAAAGACATTGGATGGATCACAGAATGTGATGTTATTAAATTCAGAATTTACTTGTATAAGTAAAATGTACATAAACAAACTATCTTTTTTTTTATTTAAAGAAGTCTCTTATGCTCACCAAGGCTGCATTTGTTTGATCAATAACAGTTCTATTGTGAAATGTTATTTAAACCTAAAAAAATTTTTTTTCAAGTTTAATATATTATAAAGTTTTATGTATTTTTTTTAATCATGTGATGGCAAAGCTGTATTTTGAGAAGCCATTACTCCAGTGTTCAGAAATAATTTGAATATGCTGATTTATGCTCAAGGAACATTTCTTACTATAAATGTTAAAGCAGTTGTGAACTGCTAATATTTAGTGGAAACCATTCTACATTTTTTAATGAATAGAAAGTTCAAAAGAACAGCATTTATTTGAAATAGAAATTGTTTGTAACAATGTAAAAGTCTCTAGTGTCACTTTTGATCAATGTGCACCCTTGCTAAATAAAAGTATTCATTTCTGTAAAAAAATCTTACTGACCCCAAACTTTTGAAAGATAGGGTATTTGTTTTTAATAATTCTTTTTTTTCTGTTTCTTGTTTTTGTCCCAGCTAAGCAGAGATCAGCTGATTGATCAATATCTAAACAACAGCCAATACAGCTCAGCCTTGGATGGCACATATACCGGGTAAAAACTGAAGTTTCAAGTTATATTGCATTACATTAAATTTGTGCATGCAGTCCTCTGTATTTATCTTGGGTTTACTCTTGTTATCTTGCAGGCTCTCGAGTTATAAATGTGAATCTATCTCACCCCTTGATGACTTGGCGTTTGACATGTATCAGGACCCTGAGGTGGCACATATAATTCGGCTGCTGGACCAGAAAAAACAGGGCATGGTTCGGGAAGAAAGATTTGATGTGGCCAAAAAGCTTAAACAAGCTATTGCAGACCTGCAAAAGGTTATTAGAATTGCCTTCTTTGTCTGACATGTCTTGCACGTGTAGTTTAATAATGATATGTTACACACTAGAGATGTGAACCTGAAGTTGAGAGAGTTGAAATGCATTTCAGGAGAGCAGGGTATTGCACTCATTTAGCCACATGTTAATTGTAGCCTGACTGTAATTAATGGGCAAATTAAAAGGGTTTTCTTCTTTTAGTGTTTAACAACCTCTCTTTTATTTCTTTTGTATTTTTTATCTCTTTTTCTGTTTAGGTGGGTGAACGTCTGGGCCGGTATGATGTGGAGAAACACAGTGCCATAGAACGAGAGGAATATGACATAGCCAAGCAGAAAAAGGAACAAATGGAGGCTTACAGGCTTACAATCTACCAGCATCTGGAGCTCCACAGTCTGCTGGACATCAGTCAAGTAAACATCCATCCATCCATCCAATCACATATACAAATTGTTCAAAAGTTTGTGGTCAGTAAGTTTTTAAGTAAGAAAATTAATACTTTAATTCAGCAAGGATGCACTAAATCGATCAATAGTGTCAGTAAAGACATTTACCATGTTACAAAAAAATATATATTTCAAAAAAATTATTTTCTTTTGAACTTTCAATTCATCAAAGAATCATTAAAAACCTTTGAAAAATGTATCATGGTTTCAACAAAAATATTATTCAGCATCTTTTTTCAACATTGATAATAATAAGAAATATTTCATTATATTTCAATATTTCATGAGGACCAGATTAGCATATTAGAATGATTTCTGAAGAATCATGTGACAGTGAAGACTGTACTGCTGAAAATTCAGCTTTACATTATGAAATACATTAAAACAGAAACAGTTATTTTAAATTGTATTAATATTTCCCAATATTACTGTTTTACTGTATATTTGATTAAATAAACACATATTCGGTGAGCATAAGAGACTACTTTCAAAAACAAATTTATGACCCTAAACTTTTTGAATGGAAGTGTATATCCGTTCATCCATCCATTACACTTCTCAGAATTCAATTAATGACTTCCCTCCATCCATATTCCTGTGTCTCTCTTAATTTCTTTTTCTGCATTGAATACATGAATAATACAACTCTTGTGTTGTGAGGTCCCCAGCTCCAGTGAGATTAGTTCTCTGATATGGCAGTTTCCCAGCTCAGTAGCGATTGTGCTGGTTCTCCTGATATCATGTGCTTGCTTCTTACTCGTCTGAGGCCAGGAGACATACTTACACAGCAGACAATGAATGACTTGGAAAGTCATAGAGCATTTTGTTTGTGTGTGACTTCCGTTTCTGTATTCCGACAGACCTATCTGTTCTGTGTGATGGCTTGTTTTTTTTCCATGTCTGAAAGAGGCGTTTTATTTATTTCAGACATATTTCTCTTTTTTTTTTCTTTTGATAAGTAGCTAGAATATTGACCAAAATGTAAATAATTAAAATGTGATTTTTGTTGTTGTTTCAGATCCACAGAATTTCTGAAATTTCCAACTCTGAATTTCCCTCTCCACGTGCTGGGACGCAGAAACACACGCCTCATCCAGCGGACTCACCCACGAAGAGGAGACAGGGACAACATGTGAAGGAGACAAATGAGCAGGACACTTCAAAACCAGCCAGCCCCAAACATTCAGTCACCCCAACACCCCTCACTCCTCCTCACGCTTCCAAAATTGATGTAAGTCTTGATTTACACTGAAAAAAACAGCCATAAGAGAAAATGAAAGTCTCATCTGCTTGCTCTAATGCATTACTTATGTGTCCACTTTCTGTTTTTTCTTCATTCATTAATATATCTTTCCACAAATACTAGTTTTATGGGTACTTTCTGCTATAATGCTCATTGCTCAGTCAGATTTATCTGCATTAATGAAATGCTGCTTCTCTTTCTTTCCACCAGTATAGCTCCTTTTCACCAGTGCCATAGTCCAGCTCAATCTTCCCTGACACAATGCTCTTTGTAGATGTATTATCTGAGCATGTGTGTGGCTTAACATGCTTGTCAGGGATTTGCGTTTGCTAGAGTTTTACGTTTCAACATTTAATTAAAGGGGTTAAAGGTGAAGTGTGTAATTTCTGTGCTCCTAGCGTAGAACTGTCCCTAACCCTGCCAGAAGTCGAAATATCTGGGTGTGTTTACAAAAGGCTGGAAGAAATATTTTAACCAAAAAATGACACTCATAAAACTACAATTTGTCTTTGGATATTAATTCTTTTGTTTTGCAAGGATGCATTAAATTGATTAAATTGAAAAGTGACAATACAGACATTTATAATGTTACAAAAGATTTCTTGCTGAATGTATTATTCATCAAAGAATTCTGAAATAAATTATCAAGGTTTCCACAAACATCTTAAGCTGCACAACTGTTCTGAACATTGATAAATAAGAAATGTTCATTGAGCACCTAATAAGGATCATGTGACAGCTTTGCAATCTCAGAAATTTAATTACATTTTAAATTTTATTACAACAGAATACAGATATTTTAAATGTAATAATAGTTACTGTTTTTTTACTGTATTTTTGATCAAATAAATGCAGCCTTGGTGAGCATAAGAGACTTCTTTCAGAAACATTATAAAGGGTTTATGCGGTTATTTGTAAAGTCAGCTGACTTAAGGGCCGGTTCACACAGAACGTTAAAACGTTTTTTCTGTTAAAACGTGAGGTCAGGGGAACGAGGTCTAGAGACGCGTTTTTTAAAAAGTTGAACTTCTTTTAACTTGAGCACCGCATTTTTAGAACGCTGCAAAATACGCAATGGTTAAAGACACATCTAGTAGGTGTTTACATTGAATAACAATGGAAAAGTAGCGCAGTGGAATGGAAAAACTTGTTCTGTGTGAACAGCCTTTTGCTAGTGCACCTTTATCACTGCATGACCTCAAGCTGGACAGAGTCACTTTTGCTTTAATTTTTTTTCCTGCAGGTCATTCTGTGAATTAGCTTTGAAATAACTTGTAAGATGAGAACACACTTTGTGATGGGAAATAATGGGATTTACATTTACAACGGTGACCGGCTGTGTAAAGGGATGACAGCTGCATCTGTTTTTCAAGTGTAATGTAAACCCTCAAGGTCTTTACATCACAGAAAAAGTATTATATTTATGCTTATCATGAAAGAAAGTACAAAAATGTTTTTAGCATTTTAGTTATTTTTGGCATTTCATTCTGTATTTAACACTGAGACAATTATTTTTCCTGATTTAAAAGGTTAGTTCACCCAAAAATGAAAAGTAGCCCATGATTTACTCACCCTGAAGCCATCCTAGGTGTACATGATATTCTTCTTTCAGATGAATACAATCAGAGTTATATTAAAAAAATGTCTTGTCTCCTACAAGCTTTAGAATGAGAGTGAATGGCTGGATAAAATTTGAAGCCCAAAAAAGGGCATCCATCCATTATAAAATCCATACAGCTCCAGGGGATTAATAAAGGCTTTGTGAAGCCATATGTGTTGGAGAAATGTCGGAGGATTTCTATATAATAGAAGGGGAGCTTCAGTTTGCACAGCCCTATTTGTTTAAACCGTGAGAGGCGTCTAAGCTTACGATACTCCTACATCATACTTGTGCCACGGGTTACTCTTGTGGCGCAAGTCGACTTGCGCGTAGTATGCGTACAGTCGTCTGGCGGAAGCTAGTTATTTTAGATTATAAAGTTATAAATATGGGTATTTTTCTTACAAAAACCCATGGCTTCGCTTCAGAAGGCCTTTATTAACCCCCTGGAGCTGTGTGGAGCATTCTTTTTATCATGGATGGATGCACTTTTTCGGGCTTCAATTATTTTCCAGCCATTCACTCCCATTATAAAGCTTGGAAGAGCCAGGACATTTTTTAATATAACTCTGATTGTATTCGTCTGAAAGAAGAATGTCATGTACACCTAGGAGGACTTGAGGGTGAGTAAATCATGGGCTAATTTTCATTTTTGGGTGAACTAACCCTTTAATAGCAAATAATGCTGGTATTGTTTTGTATATCTGAATTCAATAAATATTTTCTATGGGGACTTTAAGACCCCACTGTATATGAAACATAATGAGCATGTTCGTGTGTTTTCACAGATCAGCTCCCTTCCTTATGATGAGAGGCCTTTACCTGCTTTTAGGAAGAGGTTGAGTGATCAACCAGTCAGTGAGCTCGACGAGATGCCCCCTCTGACTGACACAAGCTCCCCACGTAGCCCTGAGTCCTCAGGACAACCAGAACCGCTCACAGAGAAAGCTCAGAGAGAGGCCAGTCTGCCCATCGAGATCTATGGAGACTGTCTGGTAAGACACACAACATTTACAGGTTCCAATTGGTTGATTTTATCTGTTTTTTTTTTTCTTCCAAAGCAGGTCTAAATGATTCATTCGCAAATTGTACTATTCAAATTCTCAATCTTAAGTCAAATTGGTTTGGAATAAAATGAGATAAAGTAAATTATGGCAGGGAGAATTATCCCTTGAAGTATTTAACATCACACTGAGATGTCCATCTATTACTGTTTTTTACAGTCTCACAGCACTGGGCAAACTCCATACGACAAAGGTCAAAGAGCCAGCTGGTGTTTTCCATTTGTGAACTGTTTCTGGAATGTGATCCTCATTTTTTTCTTTCGTTGTCTGCCTTTCTAAGGTGGCAGCGTCCTATTCAAAGACGTGGTCTTACAGGGAGGATGCTTTGCTGACAGTCTACAAGAAACTGATGGAGGTTCCACCCGGTACCCCAAAAGCAGAACTACGGAGCATGATGAGAGCAGCTGTGTTCCTCTGCAAGAAAGCGCTCACAGATAAAGTGTCATCTGTATGAGAGCTCTCTCTCCTATCTTTATTTTACCCTTTCCTCTGATTTTATCGCCCTCTTATTTTGTTTCTCAGCCTCTCCTTCTCTCGTTCTTTCTCTCACCCTCTCTTTCTAATTTCTCTCATGTTCCCTTCTTTTCAGTCTCATTTCAGGCCAAAGACAGAACGGCACCATCAGCATGACTGATAGTCGTGACTGTTTAGCAGGTGTCGTGTTCTGTCTAGTATTGTGGATTATCTGTAGAAGTGATACAGGCAACAAATGTATAAAGCCTGGCTTGTCTCTCCCAAGAGTAAACTGCGATAGAGCTGATTTTCTGCTAACTTTGGGTATGAGCGGGAGGAGATGGAACACTTGTAGAAGAATGAATGGGAGATTTACTTAAATTGTAATGCTCAATATGGTGGCTATAGGAATGGGATTTCCTTAGTTAAACAGGCTAATAAGAGGCATCGTCTGCTTTTTTCCCATTGGAACTTGGACAATCGTTACCTGCACCTTCCTGAAAAATGTGTTCACTTTGAAAATTAATCGTTTATATTTTTTACAAACTCTAAATTCTAATAGTGATTTCTGTTAACTATGGCCAAAATGATCACTCAAAATAAAATCGCTAAATGTGTGTATGAATTTGGCTGCATTTACACTGCAAGTTAATGCACAGATCCGATCTTTTGACCAGATCCGATTTTTTGGTACGCCGCGGCCTGTTTACATTCACTTTAGACAGGACTGGTATCCGATATCTGTGTTTACATTAATTCCCGCCTAAAATTATTTTCGGTGATCGTTTTACTATGCACATGGTAGACCCAGGTTTTGAATGGCCGTGCTATTAAAATGATTTATAATTCATGTCAGGTGGTCATGATTATTTGCCAGCGTGGACAAGATAACAGTCACGACTCATGAATGTTTTGCAGCTCAAAATAGGACGGAACAGATAGCTATATAGTCCGGAAATAATTTTTGTTTATCTACAGCTCAGATCTAGAATTCTGAAGTGAAATAAAGTAGCCCTGTAATATATATATATATATATATATATATATATGAATGAATTAACCAGAGAGAGAGAGAGAGAGAGAGAGATAGCGCGCGTGCGAGTGAAGCGTGAATCTAATAGTGAAGCTTGGTTTAATTACAGAGAAGTTATTACCTCATTGCTGAGAAATATAATAGCTTTCAGTAGTGAAGCTGTTTTATTTATAAAATTAGGTGTTCAAGCACGAAGTGCTGAAAACCTATTGTATTTGTACTGATTTTTATTATTATTATTATTATTATTATTATTATTATTATTCTTCTGCCGTAAAACGCATCGTGCAGAACAAACCGTAAGTGCTGGAGCTCTGAAACTTTGTCAGATGGTAGTACAAAAATCGAGGAGAGCCTCAGAAAGTATGACCCCGATTGGCCTATAGGTGGCGCTACAGCAATCAATTGCGCGAAACTGCTCATAACTCCTAAACCGTATGTCGTAGACTCAAGTGTCTTATATCATTGGAAAGCTGGAGGCCTGAAGAACAAAACGTATATCTCCGATTTCATTTCCGGTATGCAAATTTTTCCGCCATTTTGAATTTTGTCAAAAACCTACTTTTGCGAACTAGTCCCTGGTTTTTCGCCCGATCAAAACCAGACAAATGCATACATGTTCTCTGGAGTCTGAATATCAATAATCATTGAAAAAAAGTTGAATTTTCGATTCACGGTCGCTAGGGGGAGTAAAATGATCGTTGTGGGAGGAGCCTATTTTACTAATATGGCTATAACTCGAGAAGTAAATGAGATATCTTCACCAATCTTGGAACACATGTGTATGAGTTCAATCTGAGGTCACGGTAAAAAAATCGCGTCGACCTAACACTAGGTGGCGCTATAACACACAAAAAACCTAAATCGGGCTATGACCACCTGACCGTTAGTCCGATTGACTTAAAAATTGGTATGCAGTGTCTTGGTCCAAGGTGCCATGTATGTGTATGAGGAAATTGGCGTAACTCAAAAAACATGGCCGCCATCGGCCAATGAATTTGAGCACCTATTACACGAGGTTAACGGAGGCCAATCGGAACGAAACTCGACGGACATGTTTGACTCATGGCCCAAGAGGTCTGTAAGAGTTTTGAAAGAAATTGGCCACTAGTTGGCGCTAACGAGTTTTACGGCTCTGTAATCACGTGGTGTTGCACACATCCCGAAAATATGCATATCATTTGATAGATCTCCTCAGGATGAACAACTTTCCCTCTAGAACCATTGCTGTCAATCAAATCGTTCATTAAATATTCACGAATATGTTAAAAACCTACTTTTGCGAACTAGTCCCTGGATTTTTGCCCGATTGGAACCAGACCAGTCTAGGACAATTCTCTGGACTCTCTAGATCAATAATCATTGAAAAAAAGTTGAACTTTTGCATTTTTCGTATGGCTATAACAGGGTCATTTAGAAAAGGGGCGTGTCAAATACACACAAAAGCCTATAAATCATAAATAAAAACTCAGAACTAAACAATAATTGGTGAGCATATGTGTCATAACATGGTGAAGAAGCATGCAAAGTTTCATGGAGATCGGACCATAGTTGGCGCTATAACTGTCAAAAAGCTTTAAAACCATACATTTCCTATGGCAAATTGCCTGTATTGGCTGTAAATGCTGATCTCTTAAATGAATGCTCAGATCTTCTTTAAAAAAGGTCAAGAACATGTGTAATATCACTCTGTACGGCATTGAAAAATTTCAGACAAATCAGACAAAATTTGCCTCTATAATTAATTGTCACAGGAAGCCTCAAAACGAAAGTAAAACATTGGGCCACGCCCCCCCAAGCACGAATTCACTCATAACTCGAAAACGGAAAGTCTCTGCCCGCTGAAATTTTGATGGTAAGGTCCTCTCGGGGATCTTGATCCAAATCTTTCGTCGCGGGGCTCGGGAGCGCCCCCCCGCGGATCGCTAATCTGTGAGAACCCCAACTTGAAACGGCTGTAACTCTTGATCCAGACCATCTAGATCCTTGTGGAAGAGCTTGTTGGAAAGGGCTCGTCCTCATCTAGCTTCGATTCGAGTTTGGTGCGATTTGGCCTGGGCATTCCCGAGATATAAGCCCACAAAGATATGCATTTAAACGGACATTACTCCCGACAGCAATCACTCAGCAACACGGGAATGGTCTTGTTCAAGAGGGCTCCTCTAACCCTATCTAAGTTCTGAGTTTCAGATTTTTTCACTTTCTTGTTCCCGAGATATAAGTAAAAAAAAAACGAATTTCCTGTCATTCATTTCAACCGTTTATGTAGGCTGTAAAACCGCTGTTGTCCACTAGAGGGAGCAACAGCATTAGATATTTTTAATCTTTTTTAACCAGTTTTCAGCAATGGCTAACAAACAAATGCTTATAATATAATATTAAATAATGATTTATTAGAAAGTTTAATATTTTTACATCACAAATAAATATCTGAAATGCTTAAGGACCACAAAAAGAGATTTTCACAATATCATAACCCACAATTGTGTGTTTGTGTGTGTGTGTAAGCATGCATAATGGTATTCACATTGAAAGACTGGTTTGCTTTAGTGCACAATACTCAGGGTTTCTGCAGGGTTTAGTCAGTCAAATTTAAGACCTTTTAAGACCTTTTTATGACCAATATTATTTAAATTTATGACCTACTCGAATTACGAAAAATAACTTCCTTTCAAAAGTCTTTTTTTATTGACTTTCATTAAAAGTAATAAGTTTAATTATTTAAAGGTTCCATTTTCTTAAGAGTAACAAACTGAAGGCTCCCTTTTCCTAAGTATCAATAACACAGGAACAACACAACACTTATCACGATAATATCAGTCAATATCGATAATTATGACGATAAATGTCAATTCTTTATTTCTTTGAACTTTGAAGGCAGATTTTTGTTCCTAACTGAAAGTTGTAGAAACCAGAGCGTTAATTGTGGTTTTAAACTACTCTTTATTGTCAAAACATATCATGACAAACACTTGCCAAACAGGTGAACATTTCACAAATCTGAGGTAGAACATTCAAACATTTGTATTTTTTCCTTAACAAAAATAATATCTTTATTTCAAAATTAATTTCTTAGTTTCTGCATGTGCTAATGGGGGATATTGTTTCAAGTCTTGAAACAGGTTTGTGTTGCCTGGCTTTGATGGCACGTATCTTTATGAAATGTATGAAAAACAGTAGGCTATAGCCTAAATACATAAATACTGTAATTATATTCCATTAGTCCTTTAATACATTGTCTACATTAATAATATAATACAATTCAATATGTATCCCACATTTCATGGTGCAGTTAATATTACTAGGCTAACGTTACAGTAAAACCATGGTAAAGGATGTAAATGTGTAGATGGAAAAGCTTTCTGACTGTATAGTTGCGCACAGTGTTTCTCCTGTTCGTCAGCGCTGTTTCATCTGCCTTTAAACTGGTTTAAATCACTGAGACATTTGTGTTCTTCGCTGAATTCAAGTGCTTCTCACTGGATCTCGTGATCGAGACTGATCAAAGTTAACCATAGACAGTAAAAGAACGCGTCTGCTCTAGTGAGCTTGATCGCGCTACGCTGCCGTTTGGACTTTGAGCCGAGCGGATAAACGCTCCGTGAGGCGCGCGCGGTTCAAATGAGTTTCGTTCCGCTTTTGGCGCATAAACATGATCTAACATTTATCGAACTCTTGATATCGTTTTATAGAGAAAACATTATATCGCGATAATGAATGAATGAGCATATCAATTTAAGATGTGGCTAAATGTAATTTATGACCTTGTATGGAAAAGCCGGACGTTTTTATGACTTTTTATGACCCCGCGGAAACCCTGATACTGATTAAACCAAGTAGTTCAAAATAAAAGTGGTACTATAGCAATAAGTGGTCTTCTACTACCCTCTGCTGGACATTATACTTATTAATAGTCTTTTCACATGTGCTTTTGCATTCATATATTCAGACACTAAAAAATAACCTTATGTGACAATTACTATAATAACACAATCATATTTTGTCTTTCAATTCACTTTACTGTTCTGAAGCTTCACATAATTGCTAACAACGTGGTAAATCATAGTAAATCATGCTACAATCCTGCTGAATCATTCTAGAATGTGGTATATCATGATAAATTATTGTGTAACATTCGGTCACAACAAGGTAACATCAAGGTAAACTAAGACAAACCATGGTAAACTGACTATTGTAGTACATTGAGAAATATGAATCCTGAAGGACAATTGCAGTAAACATTTCTTTTTTCCATCACATAGTTCAAATATCTGTATCTACAACAGAATGTGTGTGTGTAGTCCTAGGTTTCTGAATAAATGCTGAATAATCTGATTAATAGCTTGCAAAGACATTAAATGCTTATAGACCATTAAAATATATTTATATAATGACTTTGTGTGTATGTGTGTGTGTGTGTGTGATCAAATGTCTACATATGAGTGTAAAAGCACCTGTGAAAACACTTTATTAATAAGTAGAATGGCCAGCAGAGGGCAGTAGAAGACCACTTATTGTCTCACTCTCATTTTGACACACTTGATTTTCAACAGTAAATCAAAGCACTAAAGCAAACCAGTTTTTCCATGTTAACTATTATAACACAATCATTTTTTGTCAGAGTTTATCACTTCATTTTTATTGGCCCTTCACATCAATGCAGCAATGTGGTAAATCATGGTAAATCACGATAGAAACATGGTAAATCATAGTAAAAAATACTATTACATGGTGGATCATGGCAAATCATGCTAGCAATGTGATGAATCATGGTAAATCATGCTACAATCCTGGTAAATCATTCTAGAATGTGGTATATCATGGTAAATCATCCTATAACATGGGAAATCATGGTAAACTGTGGTAAATCATGCTAGATTCATGGTAAATCATACTGGAACATGGTAGATCATGAAAAATCACACTAAATTTGGTATATCATGGTAAATCATGCTAAAACATGGTCTATTCCATCTATGATGTCAATGTTTAAATGCTTGCTACATAAAACTTAATGTCTTTTGATGCTTTTGTGCTTAACGGCCTTAAAGGCCTTAACTGCTTGAACACCGCTAAATGCTGCTAGCAGCTTTAATTATTATTATTATTATTATAAAGTTCCCACCTCAATAAAAAGCTGTGAGCGAGCGCAGACAGGCACTTCTGCCTCATAATCTTAAAAAGCTATCTGTGAATAAACGTCATCGCCTTGTGGTGGTTTGGAATTCAAAGGGGAATCGGATATGCGTGTTTATCCAGATATCGGATATGTATCTGATTTAAAACCACATTTGGAAGTGGCTCAAATCGGATGCGAAAAAATCGAATCTCTTGTGGATTTTTGTGTTTACACGTGTAGATGTGAGTAAAAGATCGTATTTCTTTGTGCCAGTGTAAACCCAGCCCTTGGTGTGTAACTTTATTGGGAACTATAACAATTGTTTAAATTGAACACAATTACAATCTGACCCTTTCTGATACAAGTGAAGGGCTTGATTAAAATGAAAAACATTTAGACAGTCTACTAAAGAAAATATGTCATCACTCATGTGCCTTCTTAGAAAAATAACTTTTTACATAACTGGTAAATTCAAAATAGCAATCAAAATGAAAATATGAGGAACACAATGATGATTTTATAACTGTTTTTAATAAATATGCATGGACAAAACATTTAAATGCCATAGTCACAAAACCATAATCTTATTATGCAATTAAAGTTCACTCCCTAGGCCTTGGGCATTCTCAAAGCACATACATGTTTATGGTTTTGAGGTGACAGCTGTGTTTTACCTCCTGTCAGTCCTTGAATGAATCACTCACAGTAAAAGTCGTGGCCTTTCAGGGTTTCATTCTAAACAGTTTTAAATGGTTGTACTGAGAGTCTGAACAAGTGCCCGCTTTTGGACACATTCCAGTGACCCTCTCCCCGTGGTTATTTAGTTAAACTAACACAGCACAGCATTTAACTGTGTGCTTTAGCTGACTTGTTGACGCTACCCTGCACCATGTGTTGTTGTAAAGGTCTCAGGCGGTTTCTCACACGGCTTCTGTGTGTATTTACACCTTAACTGAAATTCTGAGGGAAAATGGTTCCAGGTGGCTCTAAAATTAAACATGCAATGTTTCAAAATGTAATATTCAAGATTTTCTTTGGCTAGATGGTCATTTGTAATGGGTACACAGAGTTGCTTACGTTTAGAATCTCTTAAACTCTGTCATGGGAAGTAAACGTTTTTAAAATAAATAGGAAACCTGATTAAATAAATTACATAATATAATATGAAATGTGACAATATTGAAAATAAACCCTGCATGTGAATTAGTATGTAAAGTAACAACTGTCTGTTTGTGTCGCATTTTAGGTATTTCTTACATCTATGAATCTGCTTCGAATGATTCTGAGTGAGTTTATTCCCAACCATCAGCTTGGCAAATCTGAGATCAGTCACTGTGTGGAACAGACTTGGAATAATCTGCTCTTTAGGACCGGAGACTCAACCCTGAGACTCAGAACACTTGCTGTCACCTTCATACGGGTCAGTACAGACTTTTGAAATGCTTTATCTGTATTCTGTAGGGAAGTGACTCCTGCAGCTATTCAGGTCAATGGGTGTTGAAAGGTAAAATTCCACTGGAAAAATGTCTACTTACTGAGAATCTTCATTGATGAGTAGGAGTGGATACTGTCTGAAGGAATGTCATGCACTGGTGGCCTTGTAAAATGAACTCACCTGTAAACTGGAATTTAATAAATGTATTTGTGGTTTTCTCTAAGCGCGAATGGAGAACTTGTCTTTTACCGTAACCCTGCTGTGAGATTTCCTCATTTCAATCTACCATTTTTATCTGATAAAATTGTATAAACTAGCCTGGGTTTCCCCATACTGCCTTTGCGCAGCGCGATTTTATTCACGCTGCTAGGCAGTCTGGATACCATGGACCAAATTTTCGCCTCAGTGAGGGGACCAATCACAGAACGGGGAGGGAGCAGCAAGACGATGACGACGTCTATGCGACACACCGAAGCAGTTTGTTTATACCTATGGATCAAACATGGCAGCAGACGCGAAGTAACCTTTCGATGCAGCCTTAGATATTGTTCTAAGTAGTTTAGAACGCAAATAAATCTCTGACCCATCGTCTTCTTCCTCGTCTAATTTCTTTCGCTCTACATACGTCATCTGGTATAATTGAAACGATTGGCTATGAGCTACGTACAGGCGCATTTGATAAACATTCGTAGCACCCAATAAACGGCTCTGGGCATTCGTAAACCACGCCTCAAATACGAGAAAATGAACATGTGGTTCCCAGACCATGTCTCAATGTCATTTGAGACGTGGTCTGACGTTAGCCAGGCTATGTATAAACAGGTCTGGCCTCTAAACGTCTCAAAAACTCTTAAAGATAGTTTTATGGCTTTCCATCCAAGTTTATTAGCTTTACGGTCTTCCTCATTCTATAGTACAAAATTTGACAGTGTGAAGGACTTTTTAATTAATCATATCTAACATTAATTTTTCTTGCAGGATTAACAATTATATGCTTTTAATGTTTTCAAACACTTTGGTCAAAGTCAGTCAGTGTGTGTCTGAATCATCTCCGAATATAACAAAAGGAGAAACGAAACTAGGCAGATATCTAGATTTATAAACTCATGATTTTGAGTAATCAAGAAGTCCAGTTTGCTTCTGCCTAGTAACAGAAGGGTTTGCTCGCTGGATTATACATATGAAGAGCCAATCATATTGTAGGGAAATGATGTAATGAATCATGTCACCTTTGCCATGCTCCTATTCTATAAAATCTGTTGTATTCTTTTTGCTGGAGGGATTCTTTCTGAAATTGGTCTGAGATCCTCCGGCCGTGATTTAAAGGATATTGAAAGGCATTGTCTGGAGTCTGTCTAGTAAATGCTGCGCAGCAGGTTATAGGACACTAGAGATCTTGTTCCCGAGTACTAGTGTAAAAAGGGACGAGACGTCTGACTCGAAGCCAGTTCAGTTGTCGACTGTAGACACAGTGCTAGAGTATACATATTAGAGCACCGTCCTTCGGATGAGACGTTAAACTGAGGCCCGGACTCTCTGTGGTCATTAAAAATCCAATGGCACTTCTCGTAAAAGAGTAGGGGTGTAACCCCGGTGCCCTGGCCACATTCCACCCATTGGCCCTTGCCAATCATGGCCTCCAAATAATCCCCATCCACTCAATTGGCTCTATCACTCTCTCTTCTCTCCACCTATAGCTGGTGTGTGGTGAGCGCATTGGCGCCGTTGTTCTGTGGCTGCCGTCACATCATCCAAGTGGATGCTGCACACTGGTGTTGGTTGAGGAGAGAACCCCTGATATGATTGTAAAGCGCTTTGGGTGTACAGTAGTACATATGAAAGCGCTATATATAAATGCCTCATTAATTCATTAAGTGTCAACTGTAGACGCTTGTGTGTCGACTAGAGACGCCCCAGGTAAACTTAAGTCAGGTTTTCTACCACAACAGGTATAGCTGTGCATTTAAAATTGTATTTGTGTAAAATGGAACAAAAATATTGAAATATTGCATTGGGTGGCATGTCTAAAATTATCATCCAAAAAATGCTCTCTAGGATGGGAAAAAGTTACAAAAAGTTGTAAATTATGGTTCATTGTTTCATCGTTTTTAATGTACTTTAAAAGATTTTCGATTTTGTCTGATAAAAAAAGTATTTGTCTTTTTTTAAATGTAATGCTTAAGTCTAATTGTTTAGTCCTTCATGTAGTCAATTACACAATTTGTTATGCATACTACACATAGACACTCGATTATGCAAAACCTGCTGTATCTCCATTATCACTGTTCATGTAAATGTAATTAGCATATTATTATTTAGCCACTAACAGTTAACAGATACAATTGTACACAGATGGATATGACAAGCTGGCGCTGCAGAATGCTTTCCAGGTAGATCGACTTGTTGTTCAGGTATAGATCATGTGAGGCAATCCTGAACTAGTTTATCTTGTCACAGTCATTATGTTCTATCTGATAAGGGTGGGGGATATTTCGTTTTCTTGTGAAACTGAAGATGTTTTACCTTTTTGTTGTTCATTAAAATAAAATAAGCAATCCATTTAGCATTAAAATAAAACAGTGTTTAAGTGACAAAATATTTCTTGTTTGGAAATTACTTTTCAGAGGATTGTTGGTTTCTTCTGATTTGGCCAAGCATGATTATTTCTTTTTTTGTGTTCTCATGACCACAATTAATTATCTCTCTCTTAAACAAAAAAAGACAAAATAAATCTTTGGTCACATCATTTAATTGTCGTCTTTCGAAAATCATGCTGTAACCTAAACCACGTAAAAGTACTGGTCCCTCAAGTTGTCTGGCAATGAAAGGAACCATGTGTTTAGTGTTTAGTGTTCCATCACTTACTGACTCTGATTTGTTTTGGTTGTTGATGAACAGGTTATGTCTCTGTCAGGATTTAGAAAAACTTCATTGTACTTCGGACATTCCAAGCATTCCATGTGGGTGTGCTTGACTATGTGACAAAGTTTAGAAGAGTGTAACATTATACAAACTAAATAAATCTGAAATTATTAAGTAATGTGATCACCAATGGGAATAAAGACAATGGAGTTCACATATTCCTCTTGTGTCTGATTCTGTAATCCAGATTAGGCAAGTCAGAGGGGCAGTTAATATTAACTGTGAGCAATTTTCCTATACTGTATGATTTGTCAAAAAAAAAAGTTGTCCAGAAAATCTCACAAGTGTCATGAGGGTGCAGATAAACAAACCCAAAAGCAGACTCAATGCTCTACACACAATTTATTAAAGACAAATCAGAAAACAAAACCCACAAGGGGGCAAAACAAGACTAGAGGCAACAAGACAAAGACTAGATAATAAATAAAGACTAGATAATGACTGAAGACTAGAACAAAAGAAACAAACAGCTGAGATTGAGATTCAGACAAAGTACTCACAAAGAGTTACACGCATTAGTTGACAATGTACCGACACAGGACAGCAAACACAAGGGGATTAAATAGGGAGACACTAATGACAAGAACAGGTGAAACTGACTAGACAATAATGACAAGACGAGGATAACAAGGGGGCGGGGTTACGTTACGAGACAACACAACCACATGGCCCAAACAACAGGCCATGCGCTTGTACACAAAACATGGTTCTGACATGATCCTGCCACAAGACTAGGAAAATCAAGAACATGATGGCAGAATCATGACAACAAGTCTTGGGAAAGTTTGATTCATCCATTGACATCTTGTTCATGATACAGTTTGATGCAAGATGATACACTTTCCTCTCCAGAATATTAATTTTAAGCAGCAACAGAGACACTGTTAACCTCAAGCAGTAAAATGACCTCCAGAAATAAAAAATAGAATAAAAAATGTTTTATAAAAAAAACAGTATATATATGTGTGTGTACTCATTTTTTACACTAAGCAGACTGGCTTTGATTGCAATACCTTTTTGAGGATTTATAAATACGTAAGAAAGAGTTTGTGTTCTGTAACTTCAATGTTGTTGTGTTTGCAGGAAATGGCTTCATTTAAAGAGGTGAGAGCTCTGCAGATGGTTCCTTTGGAGCTTGTCAAGCCCATGCAGAGCAGTGTACCCGCTAGACTGGCGCTGAGCAGACTGGAACTGTTGGAGAAGCTTCTAGAACAGCTGGGCACCAAGAATTCTGGCTTCACCCTCGACAACGTCATGCGGGTACTGGCCTAACTTCCCCTCTCTCTGAGGAAATGATCTCACTGGGTGTCAACCCAATGGCCCTCTGCTCAGTCAAGCTATGTGCTTAAGTTTTAAAGCTTAAAAAAATCTTCTTTAAAGTAGTAGCTTAAAAACTGCAAATGGCTAGTTAGATTTATCGGCCACATGATACATGAACAACTATGTGCTAGTCTGAGACCACACACCCACTGGCTTTATGTGCCAGCTGTGGTATGAATGTTTGTATTCGGGTGCATGTACAAACCTTAACTGTAAGGTTTGCCTCTAAGAGCACAAAGATATTTGATATTTGGGTTTTTGTGGCCAAAATATCACAAATTTACCTTTCTGTTGCGATCTAAAGGTTAATTTCATTCTCACAATTCTCACAGCTATCATTAAGATTCTTGAGGGTTTCATTAGACTGAAACAAAGTGGCCTTTGTAGAGCAGAGTGGGTGTATTCTACCCTATGTAATGTCTGTTACGCACAAGGGCTGTTCTGACAGCCAGTTGCATATCCATGGCATAGTTTATGAGATTTTTCCAAGCACTTTCTCATTCTCTCTCTGTCCCAGCAGTTAGAATTGCAAAGCTGTTTATCTGTTACATTTTGTACTTCCTTATTTCCTTCAGGGTCTCAGTTACAGAGAGAGTATTCTCTTTTAAATTGTTTTTATTTTGGGATTTGTGCAGCCTAAAGTATATTTGCAGTGCAAACTTGTGGCACTACTGCAATAGAGACTGTGAAATTTCACAAGGATCTGCAGTGTGCACTGTGAGGTTTCTGTCTGTGTTTCAGTTGGGCTTTGTTGTATTAAAACAACGGCTACTGATTTTGTGTTGGCTTGGAAATGTGCCCAGGTGGCCTAAAGTCTCATTTTCCTCCACATGGTAAAAAGTTAGGAGGGTAAGGGTTATATCATATAATTTATTGGCAAAAGTTATATATATAAATATATATATCACATATATTATGATATTGTTTTTTTGGGGTTCTTTTTATTAAGACAAAAATAGTGTCAAATTTTAACATGGGCCATTTATTGTTACCTGCCATAACATGATAATAATTATCAGCTTATTTATATCGGCCAGAATTTTAATATTGTTGCATCCCTATTCCCTATAAAATAATTTATGGACTGGATATATTAAAGGGGTAGTTAACCTAAAAAACAGAATTCTCATAATTTATTTGCCTTCATGTTGTTTCAAACCTGTATGACTTTTTTTTATATATATATAAAAGCAGTTATATAACTTCAAAAGACTTGTATGGACCTCTTATGGATTTAAAAAAAAACTTTTTGGAGCTGGACAGATGCTGGTCACTGTGTATGCTTTTGTTGTATAGGAAAAAAGCAGGTTATATTTTCTATAGACAAGTCATACAGGTTTGGAACAACCTAAAGAGGAGTAAAATATGACTTTTTTTGTAAACTATTTCATACTATTTCAAAAACCAACAATGAATCAGCTCCCAAATGTCTTTTAAATATTTATTGGATCTGTCTGTTAGTATGGCCCTTTTCATTGGTGATCTCCCACAAAATGGGTTGCTGTAGGTTACACGCAGGGATGGCTGCTAAATGCCTTCTGCCTGCTGGTTTCCTGGGAGATGAGATGGGCTTCAGGGCACAGCAGAGAGGCGATTGAGTTTCCTTTAATTAAAATGAGAGATCCAGAGCCTGGGAGCACATGAATGGGATCTGTGTATGGAAAAGGGGAGAGAGAAAAGTGAGAGACAAATATTTTTAATATAATAACTGGAGTTCATATACAGTCTTTGCTTCACACATTGTAAAACATATCTAGGGAATATTGTATGTTTATTTTTTTCAGTATTTTAAACATTGGTTGATTTGTTCTTGTTGTCATACACTAGTCATACGCTACCGTTCAAAAGTTTAGGGTAGGTACGATAAAAAAAAAGAAGTCTTTTATGCTATCCAAAGCTACCGGTACATTTATTTTATTAAAAAATACAGTAAAAACAGTAACATAAGAAATATTACCATTAAATATAAAAGTTTTCTATTTTTATAATATTTATTCCTGTGATGGCAATGCAGCATTTATAAATGATCCTTCAGATATCATTCCAAGGAAAAAAAAAAAAATCATAGTATTATCAAAGTTGAAAACATAATATAATATTAATAGTTTTTTGAAAACTTTAATATATATATTTTAGGATTCTTTGAATATAAAGTTCAAAAGAACTGCATTTATTTGAAAGAGATTTTTGTGTAACAATGTAAAAAGTCTTTTAATGATCAATTTTACACATTCTTGCTGAATAAAGTTATTAATTTCTTTCTTTCAAACAAACAAACATTCTTACTGGCCCCAAACTTTTCAAAGGTAGTGTATCTATTCTACAATTACTTTCTTATACTTAAATGAATTATTCATTAAATATATTTGTGTGTGATGTATGTTGTGTTAGTTTCTGTCAGGTGGATTAGAGCACAGCGCTGCCTCAGTGCGTGAACTCTCTGTGAGAGTTGTCCAGGATATGTACCGTCGTCACGGTAAAGCGGTTTTGAATTATCTTCCACCTGATGACACCAGCACACGTAAAAACGTCCTCTACAAGAACCTTTTCGACTCGTTTACCAAGTTAGACGGAAACAACAAAAATATGCAGGTAAAACTGGTCTGGAGAGCATTATTAGCCTTGAGTTTCATCATTTCAAAGCTTAGAATGTTTGTACGTGGGGATACTGCATTCGGTTTGAATAGTCTCTCTCTGTCTTTACTTCAGAAGACAAAAAAAGTGTCCGAACTGGAAGATGGTGAGAGAGAGAAAGAGGAAATCAGGAGTTTACAGGAGCAGCTTGCAGTGCTGAAGGAGATCAGTGTAGGTATAGTAGTCAAAGGTGGCCTAATCTATCTCTTCTGTTTTGTTTTTAATGCTCTCACACAAAATGGCCTTTTTTATACCTGGCATTAAAGGTGAAGTATGCAAGATTTTTTCCAAATGTGAGAATACATTCTCTTAACCCAGTTTATTGTTCATTGACCACTATTAGTATTCCATTCATGGGTTTATCGCCCCCAAATGTCTAAGCGTAGAGCCCTCCAGGCACCATCAAAACATTGAGAGCGATCTGCTCAGATCTGTTAGTCTCTGTCCAGCTCAATATATAGTGACATTTTGGCTGTGGCTACTCTAGCAGGCGAAGCCACGGGGTGTTTAGCTGGTGTGGGATCATTGCTTAGTACGCATTAGATGGGAAAAGACAGCTTCGGTTACAGAAGTGCAAGCCAAAATTCATTGCATTTTAGATTAAACACGTCAATAACACGTCAAAGCGAATGAGACAGGAATAGCTGCAGGTTGTAGAAGGTGTGCCGAAAGGTAGGGGCATGCTGAAAGATACACAATGCTACAACAGAAACTAACCCCTAACCCTACCCCAAACCCAACAGCTGCTTTCGCGACTAGTTTTAAAGACCTTTCGGCACACCTCTACCGATCGCCATGCCTATTACTCTGACCTGCAGATATCCACACTTAAAGCGAATGGGTCATCATTATGATGCTACAGGGTACAGTGGACGCTTCAGTACCGGCATAGAGCATCATCATGCGCTCGTTCAGAAAGACAAAATGTACCATTTTATAATGTTTACTTGCACCTGGTGCAGATACGTTGTATGGGTTTATTATCAAGCAAGACGCTTGTGTTCGCTCTAGACAGTGTTAGCCTACTCAATTGCTCACTCATGAAACATAGCAACACAGTTAAAAGTATTCCTAATATTTAACCTTTTATTAAAAGTACCCCATTTTTACCTGTTGAGACATGCCTTCACAAGCACCTTTAAGAGCTGTATTTGTGATATTTGAGTTGGGGGAGGCACAACGCGCGAAAGGCGCATTTGCAAGGTTGTTTTAAAATATGGTTTATTTTTGTAATTTCGCCTAGTGTTGCAGAAACTACATACTTCACCTTTAACATTTCCGTATCTGGAAGTTCTTTAGCTGGTTTGCTTGTGCACCTTGGGCTCATTGGCTGAAGAGTGCAATGAGCCCATTTGGCCATCAGATGTACAAAAAGATAAATCCATAAGTGCATTAAAGATGTGAATCTGTGTTTTAGGAGAAAGGAAAGGAAAATTCCAAATCACCTGAGAAAAAAACTGAGAAGGCAGCCAAATCAGGTGTGTGTAAACTGATGTGTGTGCATGCTGCTGAGTGCATGATGTAACTGTCTTTGTGATGTGTTGTAGTAAAGATCAATTAATAACATCTATTTAATTGCAGCAAACACTGCAAATCATGCACAAGCTAGTCTTCCCACCATCCATCTTGATTTTTTTCTTAATGTTTTTGTTTTGAGGCTTAGCAGCAGGAATGTGTCGCTACGTTAAAGAGTGAGGATCAGACCATCATTCTTACTTATAGTCTGTCTGAATGCTCAATTCTGAATGACTGGAAGGTGTGCAACAAAACCGTTTAATGCACAGGTAGTTCCAAGTCAGTTTTATCCCCGTTCTATATTACCTCGCTGTTTTCATTGAAGCACACACACACATACATCACTCGCGCTGTTATCATTGAAACACACACACACACACGCACTCAGAGATTGCGCTGCGCACAAACAGAAACATTGAGGAGCACAGAAACTTCAACACTGATATTGCTGAATCACTAATTATTTTTTACATGTTATTGTACATTTATAACTAAAACTATTAAAAATGTGTTAATTAAAATAAAGCTGAAATAAAAGAAATAAATAAAACCTTAAACTTAACCGTAGAAATGTTGGCAGCTAGCTTTGGCAACTAACTGAAATAAAAGTTGAAGTACTAAAATAAATAATACTCATAACAAAATTACTCAAAATTACTTAAAATAATAAGAATAAAAGCTAATATTTAGTAAAATATTATTAAATACTATAAGTGTATATAAATAATACTAAACTAACACGTCATCACTGCAATCCTCGAACGGTGAAGTCAATCTGGGCTGCGTTTCTCAAAAGCACTGTGAGCTGAGTTGATCGTAGAGACCATTGTTGGCAGTGGTTCTACGATCTACTTAGGCCTACGATGCTTTTAAGAAACGCAGCCCTGAACTGAATGTGAGGGTTAAATATGTTCCTCTATGTTTCAGCAGTTGTTAAGAAGGTAAACCAGTCTGTCCCTGCTGATGCGAAAGACAGCCAATCATCTGCAGCTAACTACTTAGACAAGTGAGCACCTCTTGTCACTTCTTTGTTGATTCTCAACTGAGCAGTCTAATTCTCCCAGTCAGTGGAATATCCATTTACACAGAGTCTCTGGTTTAGTAGCGCTTTGCAAATGTCAAGTCTTTGTCTTTTATAGTTATTATAAATGTACAATTATAATCTCACCAAGACATCTGGAAAATGATAGCATAATGTGCAGTGCTAATGGGCTCTCATTTAATCAGTCTGTCTTTATACTGCTGGGAAAGAGTCTTAATAGCATGGCGAGTGAGAAATGAAAGATCAGATCAGAGTTGATGCTGGTGCTGTTTTGTGTGTAGTCTGTGTATTTTCTGTGGGGAGAGAGATGCGTCATTCACTGAGGACGGGCTCGACCTGCACTACTGGAAACACTGCCCGATGCTGCAGCGCTGCCTTCAGTGCAGACAGGTACACACACACACACACACACACAATCATTTCTTATTGGTTGAACTACTTCTCACTGTCCAGAGTGTGTTAATGTAGTATGTTTGTGTGTTTGTTAGGTAGTGGAGATTGCGAGCCTGACAGAGCACTTGCTGACAGAGTGTGAGCGGAGAGCAGATTTCACCCAGTGTCCTCTCTGCTGCGAAGCCCTTCCCCGAGATAAGCTAACTGAGCACGCTCAGAGCACTGCATGCAATCGTGAGTCCTTTGTGTGGATGCACATTGTTTTTACTTCATGCTCATCAAGAAACCACACTCAGTTCTTTTACAAATGTGTCTCCAGGGTCCAAAACTAACATTGGGCAGGTGAATTGATGTAATGCCCGTAAATATTTCTTACTGGCCATGGAATGGAGTGTTTTTATAAAACAATTTGTTGTTTTCCTTGCATATTGTGATAAACAGTCCAGCTTATTGAGTCAGTCGCCACATTAAATACTAGATGCTTCTCCTCTCTTGTCGAACACAAACATGCTTTTTAACCCTCATATTTTCTTTTTGGCAGCTTGGCGAGAGAAATATTTTACATGGCACGTCAAGGATTTTTTAAGAAAAAATGCTTTCCACTCAAGTGAAATATTTAAGATTTAAGATTTTTTTGACAGCCTGCTTTTTTTTTTGTGCTGTTTTGGGGAAAAGTAAGAACAGTTTTTGTTCCTGGTCATGGATTTATTCTTTTGTCTTTTTGTCAGCACCAGCTTCTGGAGAAAATTGTAATCACTGTCCTCTCTGCCATGAAAACTTCGCCTCGGGGGAGGAGGTGAGATCACACACAAACACAATCAGCTGTCATTTTTTGTTAAATCTAAATAACACTCTTATTACTTTATAAGAGTATTTAAACACAGGGTTCTTACAGTCATGCAAAATCTGAAAATATCATGCAAATCATATATGTATTTAATTTAAAATGTGTAGTCATTTTCAGGCCTGAAAAGTCACTGGAATTAATAAAACCAAGAACCATAAAACCATAATCTTTTATTGTATTGCAATTTAATTTCAGTTAATGAAAATCATTTTTAATAGTTTTAGTTAACACTGGTGCTGGGAATACATTAGTTGTCCTTGATTTATAAGAGCTCTTTTGTGCATTACTAACTCTTTTACAATGGCTAGAAAAACACATCATCCTATGGTCAAGTATTTTCATTCAATCTGAAATGACAGAAATAGCAGAACATCACAATATATAAAGATTTGAACAGGAAGATGTGTACATCATTTGTACAACATTTAAAGCATCGTGTTTCCTTCTTGAGCATCAGTGAATGTTTGCACCTTTTGTAATAGTTATGTTTGAGTCTCTCAATTGTCCTCGGTGTACAAAAGATACAAAATATTTCCAAATCATACGCAAAAGGTTTAAATATGCAAAAGATGCTGGAAAACTAAAGAATTTGCAGGACCTGGAGGATTTTTCTGAAGAACATTGGGCTGTTTAACTGTTTATGACAAACAAGTGACTCAAGAACAACCATCACAAAACAAAACAAAAAAAAACAGTCATGGATCATCCGGGTGACAACAAAGTTTTAAGAATCAAGCGTATGCAAACTTTTGAACGATGTCATTTTTATAAAAGAAATTTGTGGACTACATGTAAACTACATGTCTTTTATGTAAAATATCTTATTCAGGACAGTAGTAAATAAAAAAATAACATGAATTTGTATATTCACTCTTATTATGTAAAATATAATTAACACTTTGCAAAAAGCCCAAAATTATTCATACCAAGGTCATATTTTGAGTTAAAGTGCAAAAAAAAGTTTGACTTTGCCATCGATTATTGAGAAAGGGTATGAGAGAGGAAGAGAGAGAGAGAGGGAATATCTAAGGTTTGGGAATATAAGAACACTGGTATGAAATCAGGTCTGAAACCAACACCATAGGTACAGATTATTTACACAAGCACCCATGATGATTAAAGTGAGATTTACAGTGTCTCGCTCTCTCTCACACACATGCAGACATGCTCCTCATACAGCAATGTAACAGTGCATGTCTTGTGTGTGCAGGCCTGGAAATCTCACCTCATGGGACCGGAGGGTTGTAAACAGAACTCACGGAGGAGAGCGGTACAGCAGAGCACTCTCTCACACGCACAAGGTGATCATTCATCTCCTTTAGCCTCAATGAGACCTTAACAACACCACACTGTCCCATACAAGCCCCTACTGCCCCACATCGCTTCATAAATCACATATAGATCCAAACTGCCCCACGTGGCCTCCACAATGCCCCAATCTTACCACGTGCACTGGACTGTTCAGCATTTTATTATTTTGTTCTCGTCAAATTAAATATGGTGTTACTTTGGCTAAACTCTATGCAGCATCCCACAATGTTCCTCAACAACTAATGTACTCTGGTGTTTGTATTTCTCTTACTCTTTGCCCTCAGGAAAGACGGTCAGCACAGGTGTAGCTAGGACAGCAATGGTCATTTCTGAGTCCAAGGTTCAAGGGCTGGCACGAGGTAGTCGCATCCCCGCTCCTGCTTCCAGAAACAACAGACACATCAGAAACCCTCCAGGCAAGGCCTCTACCCTCCGACTACAACAGACGTGACGCAAAGATTGCATCCTAACTCTAGTAGTGTTGCTGGATGGAATCTAATGTAATGTAACACTCAAATCTACTTCATATCAGGATTCAAATAATGCATTATTGCACTCTTATTGCTGTACCGATTTAGGAATATTCCTATAAGACACAAATAACAATCAGCATCATTTTTCTGAGCACACGTTATATCAGTAACACCTCCTATACAATTTACCCACAACTGAATGTACAAAATCTGAAATATGCGTTGATGGCTTGTAAACAAATTGAGCAGAAACAGGTTAATGAGCTGGTATGCAGTTTGTGTTCTGCTCCGTTTACCTTTCCAGGTTGCTCACCTGGATTTTGTGTGGTCTATTTGAGAATTTTATTCTTGTATATTGTTTTATACTTGTTTGTTTAGTGTGTGTGTGTGTGTGTGTGTGTGTTTTATGTGAATATTTTGTGATTGTAGCACCTTGATATTTAATGGTTTTTTAAAGCATTACTAGCACCCCGGCCAAATAGCCTTTGAAAAAAATAATTTGGTTTCTGTCCACGAGATTTGGACTTTGGACAGATTCTCATTGTATTGGATTCGGATAATGCGCTTACATTCTCTGCGGCACTTGCCTTGAAAACAAACAAAAATGTTTCTCTTGAAAAGGCAGAGGCTAATTCAATTCTCATATCTGCTTTGATGCTGTTCAGAGAATCATGACATGGAACATAGATTGTGCCAATACATGAGACTAAAGAGCCAAGAGTGATGATGATGATACGTTTGGTCTTTGCATTTGCTTCAGTATTAGGCCTCGTTCTTGGCCTCGTTTGTTGTGCAAATTGTTTTGTCTGCTGTGTGTAAATCCCAGGGTATGATCTGTATCGAACTATTCTGTTGTATTTATTGTGTTAAAAAGTGAATTATTCGGTCCTGTCATGCTTATAAAATCATCGAGACTGAAGATATGGAACAAAATGAAAGACTGTCCAAGTGGAATAGGCTGATTCTGTGCCTGAAAATAAGCCATAATGTCACTTTTAAAAGTGAAGACTGAACACAAGTATGCAGTCTGAGTTTACCTATAGTCAAGGGACTTCAGGGATGGAATTTTTTTGCAAATGTACAACCCCAAAAGTTCTTTTTAAGAATGTTTTCTGATGGTCATGTCTGACATAATGCAGTGTCTGTAGCTCCTACCTTCACTTCTCAGACATGCATTATATAACTGACATACATCAACTCCTACAGACATGTTTCACTCATGTATAGAGGGATTACTGAGATGTCTAATATTTAAATATCAACTATTTATTGATTTAAATAAGTCAAACTAAGCAATTTTTTCGGAGTAGAGAAAGTTTTCTAAAAGTGATAACTCTATTTGTTGCACAGATAGCGGATGCATACCCAAATAGTATTCATTTTGCAATCATAAGTCTGAAATTTATATTATATATAGATAATATAGATTATAATGTTGGACTATCATAGGATATTTTTGCGTTTACTTTAATTTAGATTTATTTTAGTCTTAGTACCAGAATTAAGAAGCACAGCAGTTTTTGTCTCATAGTAAACTGGTTCCAGTCAGCAAATGATGAACTAATGTGTATTGTGAGTTCTTAAGGACATGATTGCGAATTTACCGGTCATTAGTCTGGCCACTTTCCCTGCATAGCTTTAATATTGTCTGTACAGACTGTCTGCACTTAGATGTGCAACAAGAGTTTGAAGACTTATACTGCTAATTTTAAGTGTAATATTGTTACCATATAAAAATTCTTTATTGTAATTTGAATTGTCACAACAACACATTAATTATACGCCCCTCAGCTCTTTGTGCATTGATATTAACGGAAGCTAATGTCGGCTTTGTAGCTTTATTTGTTTGAAGCCGTTTTAATAAATGTATTTGAATAAAGTTTTCACAATCTTTTTTTTTTTTATCTAAAAAAAATTCTCCACATATTTAGCTTTGTAAAAGTTATTTGATTGCCACACAAACACCAAAACACAATATGGCAAATGTTAGGTCGATGGTGTTGATTGAGTGTCATGGCCATGGGGTATTATTTACCCAATGATGCATTGCAGATCAATTTTTGATGGACTACCATAGAGAGCATTGCAATTAAATTACGTTGAATGAAGCCTAAGATTTTTGGCAAAAGCACAATAGGAGTGAACACTGACTTAAATTTCAGTCTGTTCCTCACACAACGCTCAAGGTTTGACTTCACACATAAAAACACTTTAATTAATCATACTTAGGCCTATATGGTGCTTAAAATCTACACTCCATTCTTTGTAAGGTTTCTGGTGAACTTCACAATTGACATACAAATTGTGTAGCCATATGGTATGTATTTAAAATTTACTTAGAAAAATAAATCTACCCTGAGCAACATTCAAGTGTGACAACTAGCCCCAGTTTTTTTAGAACAATATTTGATCCCTGTGACAAGATGGTGAATTGGAAGACGATAATAACTTGTGATTTATTACATTTGACAATTGATAACACAAGTAGTCGTCATCGTCGCTTAGAAAACTTACAAAAAGAAAGGTTAGATCTGCAAACACGCGTCATTTGAAAGATTATCTACTTTCTGTCTTTGTAAATAGCTAGTCTATTACGACGTGTCTGGCGCAGATCAAGTACTCGTTTTGTACAAGATTCCACATGCGCATCAGCTCCTGCGGGACGAGTTTGTGCACCACGATGAGGTTGCGGAAAAAGCACGGCTCCCGGTTCAGCGGCGTCACTTTGCGCTTTATGATCCCGAATGTCCTGAAGCCCAGATGCAGCTCGGGCACGATCTGCAGCTTCTGAAGGCACATGCCCAAAAACACATCATCAATGGGGTAAAGCTCCACGCTCTCCGAAACCACGAAGAGCCTGCGAGCCACCTGAGAGGACATTAGAAATCCTCCCCCACCCAAATAAGGTGGATAGCGCGTATCATACAACTCTTTGGGAATGAAATATTTACTCTGGTGGTTTCTGATCGGTTTAGCTTCAAAAATAGTATCCCCTACAATGAGGTTTTCCACCCTGTTCTCCTCCACCCTAAAGCCAATTAGTTCCACGAGGTTCTTGGTGTGGACAAACACATCATCGTCCCCTTTGAAGATGAAGGGAACCCCACTGCAGTAGATGTTGAACCACCTCAGAAAGTTCACCTCCTTTAAAGTGAGATTGAAGAAGGTGTCCATGAAGTCCCACTGCAAGATGTCCCCGTAAGTTCGGTCTTCATATTGGACCAGGGCTTGTAAATTTCGCCCGTCTTTGCCAGTGGCCGGAGTTCCTAAAAGAAACAGCGTTTTAATTTTCAAGCCCTGGATTTCTTGCTCCTTTCCCCAGGTCTGTCGCACGGCCTCTCGTCGGTCATGTTCTTCAATAACCGATTTGACCACGACAAGAACATCCACGTCACCGCTACACTTCTCGGGGTGATTCAGCAACATTGGGAAGTATCTGCAATGTCTGTGTAGGACAAATTCGCGGAACCTTGGGTTCAAACGACGAAACCAGGCTTGAGTCTTTATCGTGGAATTTTCACTACATTTGATTCTAGCCACGTCCCATTGTTTTGGCATGGGTTTTCCCACCTGCGCCAAGTCATTCCCGCGTGATTGAGATGCATTTCCAACGGCCTTTATGCTTTTTCTTTTGAATGACGAACATTTGGGTCCACACCATTTGTTTTTCACGTTGACATCTTTAATATTCGGGTCCACTGTTATTAATTTCTGAAGCATCAGTAAAGTGGCAAAAATCAAAGTAAGGCTCACCGCAGCTCTAAAATTCTTTTTCTTTCTACAAAAGAATTCCATTACGCACGCGCTCCTCGGAGAACAGTCTATTCGGGTGACCAGCGGATTCGTCATGATAAGATCATGTCACCGGTAATCAATTTCAGTGAATTTGTGTTAAAAAAGTGTTATAAAAATATTAAAAAATCAGCGAATAGTCCATAAAAAGGCATTTTGATTAAGCTGGAAAGGCTGTCAGCTCCACTTCTCTCCTGTCAGACTGTTTTTGTCTGTTGTCCCCTTCATATATTGTCGTAACAGGTCCTTCTCTTTTCAAGTTCCATCGTTGAACTGCTGAAAATGGGAGGCAGTCATCCTGTAAAACAATCCGTCTGCCCTCCTCTCCTCCACCTTCACGAGTCACGACACCTACCTGCTACTACAGGCTCTCTGGTTACACACGACAGCTGTGCAAGCGTAGAAAATGAGAGTCCCGACGAAGAATTCGAGCGTGGACTATTTACGTATTCAGTCTATGTAAATATTGGAGTTAAAGTAACTTGTTTTTTTAAAGGTTTTTGACCCCGTTTTCACATCCATCCCACAAGCACATTGGAAGATGCTTGAAGTTATCTTACCAAGCAGTTTGTTAGCACTAAACTTACTGAAATTATTTTAGTATTTAGCTCCCCCGTGTGGTTCAAAGCGATAGAGCCAAGGTATTTTTGTCAGCATTTGAAATAAATTGATAGCCTTACCAGATTTAAGTGTATTTACATTAGTTAGTTATATATTATTTCGGAATTATAAAATCCACAAACATGTCTTAAGAGCAATTTTTTTCTTCAATTAAAAGTGATACAATTTAGTATTTAATCTGTGTCCTAAAATGCTTGCTACTGCTCCAATAAGCCCCATTCAGCTTAAAGGGATAGTTCACCAAAAAAATTAAATTGCCCCATGATTTACTCACCCTCAAGCCATTATAGGTGTATATGACTTCCTTCTTTCAGATCAATACAATCGGAGATATATTAAAAAATCCCTGGCTCTTCCAAGCTTTATAATGACAGTGAGTGGAGGACGAGATTTTGAAGCCCAAAAAAGTGCATCCATCCATCATAAAATTATTCACACGGACCACGGCTCTAAGGGTTAATAAAGGCCTTCTGAAGTGGTGCGTTTGTGTAAGAAAAATATAAATGTAAAACTTTATAAACTAATTCCGACAGATGGGCGTACGCATCAATTTACAAGAAAGAGCAACCCCTGACTTGACGCATGATGTATTGACGAACGCTGAAGCGCAGACTCAGAGGATAGAGCAAAACAAAACACCAGTCACGAATTAGAAGTATAAAACGAGAATTTTTAAGAGAAATGTCAGAGGATTTTAAGTTTGTTTTCTAGCCCTATTTGTTTGAACGGAATTTGTTGAGAGGCGTCAAAGCTATCCTACATTGCATCAGGGGTTACTCTTTAGGCGTAAGTCAACTTGCATCTGCCGAAAGCTAGTTATTTTAGTTTTTAAAGTTTTAAATATAGATATTTTTCTTACAAAAACCCATTGCTTTGCTTCCTGAAGGCCTTTATTAATCCCCTGGAGCTGTATGGATTACTTTTATGATGGATGAATGAACTTTTCAGCAGGGTTCCATGCAGCCACATATAGCTTAAAGATTTTGAAGCCTGTTAATATAAAACAAATACACACACGGCATGCAGTATTTATTGTTGCTATAAAACTCAGGGCAGGGGTTGATATTAGGCTACCTACAAAATGTTACCACTCCTTTTTTCTTTCGAATAGGCATATATAGCCTATATAGGATATATATATATAGGCATATGCTTAACGTTCTCATTTGCCAGTGAATTCTCCATGTGAGATCAGTTAGGCCTAAATGTTGAAGCTTGTCAATAGTGATGTCCACTATGATGATGTCAGGCAGTAGGCATATTAAACAATTTTCAGAATGACAACCTTTGAGGAAATTATTTAATGACTGTCACAAGGCCTAATAGCTACACTACAGTGTCAAATATTGTAATACAAACTGCGCAATAATTCTCTAACGGATGTGTCATCAGTAGAGGCTGGTCCTAATATTATATTCACGTCATATTAAGTCACAATCACAATACAGTGTATGACTCATTCGACAAATTTCTACGATGATTTAACTTGCCAATTGCCATCCCATGTAGCCTACTTTTAATCGCTTTCACTAGGTCTATAACGGCAAACTAAACTGCAGTATTCTGTACAAACAGACTACGCAGCTACTAATTGATGGATATTAGCCGCAGCCTCAGAAAAGCCTGTAATACAATTTTCAACACCCATCTCGTGATTCTGTGTAGTGTAGATTATCGGAATTGGGCGGGGCTTCAGCGGTCACCGGAGATAAACACTCGCAGGACTCCAGTCCACATCAGTTTTGGACGCTTAAACTTTCAATGAGGGCAAAGCAGGTAAGATAACATAATTCAGAACTTTTGCTTTTAAGCAGTTCTTTTCTGTAGTAAGAACGTGTACAATCAGTTTCGAGTCTATGCAGTTTCGACTTGTGCAGTTTACAATCAGCTTTTAGTGTGAAATGTAATTTACTAAAATAACGTTCACAGTTTTGGCGCGCAGACTAAGGTGGAGCACGCGCTTTGAATTTAAGTATGATAATCAAGTTGTTTTTTATGGGTGGCTTTTTTTGTTAAAAGCAAATTTATCCGCGAGACATTCCCACCACTAGTTTTTGAGTCACCAATGAGTCGAATCTTTTGAATCAGTTCAGTAGAAAGATCCGTTTAAGGAATTAATACAGTGACCCATCGTTGCAAGTAGACGTCGACCGGTGCGTGTTGTTCTTTTTGTGTTATGGTGAGAGTCATAAATTGTTTCACTAAGGTCGTTTTAACTGCATGGTCATCCTTTTTTGTACATGTCCCTTTGCCTTTCTCTCCCTGATACGAACTGGACTGATTCACTGATTCATTCAGTTTTGTCCCAGTTCATTCAGTTTGGTCACGAACAAGATGATTCGTTTATTTATTTCGTTCATGAATGTCTTGTTTATTGAGGTGCTTATTCGTTGTGATATGGTGATGTTGGTCTTTAAAGACTGGAGAGAAGAAAAATACATCACTGAACAAAAAGTAGGACTATCTGTGCATGGAAGTGAACGAAAAAGATGTTTACTCAAATGTTCGTTCAAACGAAACGCTAGTTATATTTCGTTAGTGACGGCGAGGCGGATGCATTATTGAAGTCCTTGCTATTGTCTTGTTCCAGACTGTCGTTGGGAGCCACAGACCGCATGTGTGCGGTGCTGTCTCTTTAAACCCGCCCGGTGTGAAAAGTTCAGTCAAGGTCAGTGTCAGTGTCTACCCAACCATCTCCTCCTCCCCACAGTTTCCGTCTGTCGGCTACAGTAAAGCGCTAACGTTATATTATGTAACAAGCTTTCTCACGATGTCTCAACCACGTCTAAAACCGGGCTAATACTGTATTCATTTAACATACGTTTACTATTGGTCTTTTATTCGCAGAGGGCGGTGAGGAGGAGAGTTCTGCGCGGTTTGGTGCAGAGATCAGCGTCTGTTATCGCGAGCGCAGCGCGGCAGATGGCTGGCGACGGCGGCGAGGCCAAACGCCTCCCAAAGAGACCGTTTCACGGTGAAGTAGAGGAGAACTCCAGCGCGAACATTGATCAAACCGTCAAGATTCGGCCCGGGAAAAAGACTCCGGGTGAACGGCGCGGTAAAGAGAACTCTACCGTCAAGTGTACGGGTCTGACAAGCGGCTCTGCAGAGGTGAAGATGGACCAGACCGTTCACAGTCCCCAGACGCGAGAGGACCCGAGCATTTTCTTCGACGAGGACAGCAATCACATTTTCCCAGTGGAGCAGTTTTTTGGGAACCTGGATGTTGTTCAGGTAAGCTAACCTTAAACCGATTCAGAACGTTTTATTATGATTGGGAATCAGCAGAAATGCAGAGAAATAGCGCTGGATTTAAACTGAATTTAATTTCGCCTCAAACATCCGTGGCCAGCATTTACGTTTGATGGGTCTAAAAGAGTTCATATTTTACAAATATAAAGTCAAGTAAAAACCGTCTTGATTTAATGTGAACAATTTTACGTGGCTGGTGAAAATTGTCACGTGACCAGAGTTTGACGTCTGTGACTGTGTAGAAGCTCTGTAAAAGGAAGCGTGTAGTACAACGAAACGGTTGATATAATAAAACAAAGTGTGTTCACATTTCTAATTCTTAATGTATAGGTGCTCTGTCTGATATAAATCATGTTCAAAATACAATACATGTGAATATTAAAGGAGAAAAAATGGGAAAATAAATATAAAGTTGTAAAAAGTCTATCTATCTGTCTGTCTCTCTATTTGTCTAAATTATTACTTCCCTCTCCCCAACAATTGCCAGATAGTAACTTTTTTATATATATAAAACCTATTATACAATATTTTATAGTTTTCACATGTGCTGACTTAACTGAGAAAAGATTGGAATTAAATGGGTTAAATATCAGTTGAGGAGGGCCCATGCAGGATGTGAACTTTAATTTCCCTTTGCCCCAGTAACATAACTCTGGTCTAAGTTAAGCTTTCCAGATAAATAACATGCAGCCAGATGGCTTTGTTTGCGCACAGTAATCCTGAAAAATTGAGGTTAATACAACACCATGTAGGATTATTTGAGTGAAGGTCTGTGAATTCTCAATTGGGTGTCAAAACGCATCAGGTGTTGGGTTGATTTCATAATGAATACACTCAATAGCCAGCTGTCATTAATACAATTTTAATGTCTTAATATGGCTTTGTTTTAAAACATTCTGACCTGATTTGTTTCAGGATTACCCACGCAGAACCCCAGGAAGCAAGAGAATGAGTCGGAGAGAGTACAGGAGCATGCATTACTATGCCAAAGAGGACAGTGAAGATGAGCATCTATGAGCACACGATCCCTATCCCTCTGAAACTGTATCAAACTGTCTGCCACAGTTTTGACCTGAAGCCTGCAAGAGTTCGACTGACCTGGGAGGAGTTTTACAGTATGCTGGTAAAATGGACTTGATTGTTTTAAAGCAAGCTATTTTATTCCAAGATCCTTCTCAATTATAATGTTTGAGCTACACTGAGATGCACTGCGTTGATTTATCAGTAATGTGTTCTTACAAAATTTTAATGAGGTACGTTATCAATGGCAAAAATGTTAGTACATCCGTAATTATAAACTTCAGACCATTATACGTGTGCTGCATTAATGGAATGTACAGTAAGAGGGTTTTGTGCTAGACTTAAGGCTAAAATGATCATGTGATTGGGGCTTGTGCTGAAAGAAAGTTATATAATATATGGAAAAGTCTCTTGACACAGTGTACCATAATGGTTGATCTGGCAGCACTGACCAGCACACTGGGTTTTCTACCACTAGTCCTTACTAGGCTTTAAAAAAAAATCAACAAACATAATGTTATCAGAGTCAAGTGCCTCCAGTTTGCTATTCAGACTTTGAAACATTCTGAATTTGGCACTTTTAAACATTCTCTGTTGAGAATGAATAGGTTTGTTTTGGAAAAAACTCTTTATATTTCAGATATGGTGCTGTATAATTGAAAATTAAAGCATGTTATAATTTTTTTGACAATGTTTTTGATATGCTAATGATGTAAAGTTTTTTTTAAACATTTTTTTATTGAATAGTATCTCAAATTAAGAGGGTTTTATTGTAAGATATGAAAAGTTGTAATTTTTAACCAATCAAGCTCTTTTTCGCATGTTGCTTCCACTAGGAATTTGTCTGTATATGAAGATATTTGTATCTTATTTGACTGGATTTGCACTAACTTCACTAGTAGCTCAAAGATGTAACAATTTAATATGTAGTTTCTTTGCTACTATGTACAAATTGCCTGAGGTAAAAATTGTGATTTGAAGTTTATATTTTTCTATTGAAGTGAAAAATTCAAAAAATTAATTTTTGTTGCCAAATACCTTGTATGTACATGACATTATCAAATCTTCAGTGTATTATCATACGAAAGTACAATACTCCGTCCAGAGAAAATAAACCTCATGAATGACTTTGGAAAAATGACTTTTGATATGCATGTGCAATCGTATTATTTTTTATTTATTTTTCTTCATATTTAACGTTGTTTAGTTTACTAAAATATAAAGAGTTTTTTTTTTCAGGTAAGGCTTATGTATTCTGTACAATAAATAAGACCATTGTTTTTTAATGAAAGGACTACAAACATTTGCTGTACAAGACATCCTGTTCCCACACATGTTTCCAATATCTGATGATACAAGATTTTGATGATAAATCACTGGCTTCTGGCAGGAACAGGAAAGAAAGATGAACCAAAGACTCTTTTCAAAGACTTTGTTATTTAAATAAACCAGTAAAAATGCAAATGTACAAATATAAAATCAGTCACTTACAAAACCCTGAAGAAGTTCATTATTTACATTTAAACATAGATGTTGCTTTGGTACAAATATTTGTATGGAACTAAAAGTTGTTACAATTAGAAATGCGCATACCTGATTATTAGTATGATAAATGGCTCCGAGAAGCTCACACTATATGCTGCATTTTTCATAAGAGGATTATGGATGTCCTTTCATTTCACAGTCCTCCTGACCCGCTTGTAGATTTTTCGGGAGTCACAGCTGAGCTCATGGGCCCCTTTCTTATGGCAGACAATGTGAACCAGCTTGAGATTCTCTCTTGTGAAGAACAGTTTGTAGAAATAATCCACATTTATATCTCCGCTCTTACTACCCTTCAGTGCCTCAGCGAGTGCAGGGATCACAGTCCTCTTCTTTTCTATCCTGAAATATACATCAGCTTTTCTCATTTAACTGGATTTCAGAATAATTCATTCTTAAATTACCTTTACCAGAGGACCTAAATACTGAAATTAAAATGTATATCAGTAGAAAACATTAAGATTCAAGTCTTGTATGTTCACCAAGACTGCATTTATTTGAACAAAAATACAGTAAAATTGTAATATTGTGAAATATTTACTGTGAAACACAACCATTTAAAAGTTGGTGTAAGTAAGATTGAAAATAATAATAATAATACTTTTATTCAGCAAAGACGCATTCAATTGATCAAAAGTGACAGTAAAGACATTTATAATGTTACAAATGAGTTTTATTTCAAATAAATGTTAATTTCACTTTCTATTCATCAAAAAATCCTGAAAAAATTTACCAGCAGTCAATCTGAAGGATCATGTGACACTGAAGACCGGAGAAATGGCTGCTGACAATTCAGCTTTACCACCAAATTAATAAATAACATTTTAAACTGTATAACAATAGATATTTTACAGTTAATTAAACTAATAATATTTCACAATATTACTGTTTTCACAGTATTTTTGATCAAATAAATGCATCATTGTTGAGCATAAGAGACTTCTTTCAAAAACATTAAATAATCTTAATCGTTCCAAACTTTTGACCGGCAGTGTGATTGTTTGTTATAAACATTTACATTTAAGATGCACTACTCACACGTGGTCCAGATTCCAGGTGCTGAAGAGGATTCTGCTCTCGCGGTTCCCATACGGGTTTATTGAGTGGAGAGATGTGCAGTTGTTCTCATCAAAGGCACCCTGTTAGAGTAAAAATCTTTTATAGTCTTATACAAATAGAAACTTCTGTACCACTGCAACAAAAGCAGGAATTTTACATTTTGATGAAAGATCTTTTATATTATTATTAGGTTTCATTATTTTCCTTCGATGGACTGAACTGAATGAGACTCATTAGAAATGACTAAACTACAGCACCTGGCAGGAGAACCAGCCCTCTTCAGTGCAGAGCCTGAGGACGTCCTTCTCCGATCTGTCAAAATAGGTGCCGTTGTATCGTGCAGCCTTCAGTTTCTCTGCCAAGATCTCCACCACCTTTTTATACTCACTTTTTGTCTTGGGATTTGGAATAGTCTGCGTATATCCATCAACCTATGGACAGTGAATAATATATCTCATTCAGAGTGATGGCAGGTCTTTTTTTACTGCATGAAATAAATGATAAAGTCCACTACATATAATATCTCCAACATTTCAAAAACGAACATTTAAAGCAGAACTGAATGCAGTTTGTCACACCTCTTTCAAATATCCCCGGACTCTGTTCTCGCAGTTATACTTCATGTAAGCAGACTTGGTTTTAAACCGGGCATCAATACCTGATATATAGACATGATAAAAATGAGCCAATGCTCACAAATACAACACATTTCAATTCATGAAATATAATTCTGTGTAACCTGGACATGTTCTTTGTGAGTTATATCCATAATTTATATGCCATATTAAAATAACACAGAATCAAGATACAATATACAAAAAGGCCAGGTTAAATTCAGGTCAAATGGAGTACCCCAAAACCGTCAAAATAGCATAAACGTTACCTCAGAAGAGTCAGTTACAGTAAAAGAGTAAATGTCTACTTATTCTTTTCCCTCATTTACCTTCAAACCATTCCTTATCTTCTTCTCTGCTCTCCACCTCTGAGTTGTCCCTCAGGTTCCTCAGGAGGTCTCCCAGTATTCTGCGCCGTTTGGGAGACTGTTCATCTGACAGAAGGTCTTTTGCTGCACTGATCAGAAGGTCTGTGTGTCTGTTAAATCCCAGGACTTGATTTATTTCATGGACAACTGTAGAGAATGAAAAGCCAAAGCAATATGATTCGTGGCCTGTTTTATTGCAATATTATTTTCAAGCAATGTTTTCCAGTTACATTACAACTGTCAGTCAATGAAATAAACTCACGGCCATTCCAGCTCTGTCCCTCAGGCAGGAGAACAAGTTCTGTGTTATCGGGAAGATTTTGAAAATATTCTTCGGTAACTACAGTTCCATCCTCGTACAAGCAAACCTGTATTCCGGAGCTGGATACCTGTGCATAAAATATGAACTATGAATGCTTGACTGCTGTATCCAAACGCGTTGTACAGTGACACTCTCTCCTTAATAAACCACATGAAAACACATTTTACTATACCTTTAGTACATGACATCCTTTTTTAATCAGCTCCTTAAGGTTAACAGCCGCAATTCCGTATTTTTTGGACTGGTTGGCACTTCTGACCTTAACCAGCTTGAGTTTTGTTATTTTGTGCATGTTTTGTCTTCCGCAATGATAAAGTTTCTTTTTCGCCGTATGTCTGCATGGGCGATCAAAACAACGACATGACGCGCGCTGCCATCTTGTGGATACAAAAACAAATGACACGGACAGTCGGACACCTTTAAAGTCCCCATGAATTCAAAATTGACCATACTTACTTTGTTTGCCTAAATTAATCGTTTTGTGGTGAACAATTCATCCATGCAAGTCAATCCACACAACATTTTTTTTTGGCTTCGTAATCTTTAATCAAAATCAGAAATTTCCCCTCCCCTCTGCATTGGAGGACCTTCCCTGATGACGTAGGTTTGACGGTTTGGGTGTCTCCAACTGACAAGGCTGAATGAAAACACCTACTTTTCTAGATCCAATCAGGTGCTAGTTGGGAAAAAAGCCACGCCCACTATTTTGCCTCATTTAGTATTCCGTTTCTCTCGGAAATACGTCACAACAACATAGGAGAAAAGTCGTTTGCAACTTCCGGTTCACGGGGACTTTAACAACATAAATGGTTAAAAATAAAAAAGCAGATTAGTATTTTATTTTTTATAATTTAATCCTGAAAAAAATGATAATTATAGAGAGGTTCATTTTGCATTACAAAACCACTAGAATTAGCATTTTGGAGCCATTTCCTCAGGATTTTCACTTGGGATTTTTAAAAATAATTTATGAGTAAAATAAATATAATGTCTTTTCCACATCATAATTTACAGACAGTCACATGTGAATACTGAAGCCCAAGGACTAGCGTACAACAAGCAGGGGCGGTTCTAGGATTTGACCATGGGATTTGACCCGTACTATCAGCAAGCTACTTAATTGGAACCAAGTAAATACCAAAATTTTACAAATGATATTAGTCTTTCTGCAGCTATACGCCTAGTTCAAATCGTTTGGCTTATAGAGAGAATTGAATTTTTAAACTCACACGTAGTCATTTTATAGCTTAATCTATATATTCTAAAGCGTATTTATATTACCTTTTATATATGTATTCCTTTAAACTGTGCGTAAAAATAATTGATAAACGAAAATTGTACGTGTGCTCGATTAATAATTACATAAATAATATCTAAATCATACAAAATTATTATTCTAAATAAGTGTTACTAAAAGCCAGACGATTGTGTCTTTAAAAATCATTTGCTATGTAGTGACCTTTAATTTGGAGATTTGAGATCTCTACCTGGAACATAACCTGCCCCGGACCAGGTTAGCTGTGCAGCGTAAGTTAGGCTACTATGGCGATGAACACTGCTTAAAGCCAAACCACTTTCATGGTGCCTAAAACCCAGGGTTGGTGCAAACTAAACTGAAACATACCTGGGTAGCCACCTAAACCGGATTCATGGTACAGGCCCCAGGACTTGTTTTTTTCCAATCACCAACACATTTTGGGGGTTCAGGATTTTTTTTTTAGCAAAATTTGTATAAAGATGATTCTCAACTATGTTATGAAAGATATAACGGAATTAATTGATTTGACTTTTTTCACCATTTTACTTTATGCAATATGTGGGTAAAATGGCCATAAATTAATATTCCCATTCAATACAATGTATCTATACACTGTATCTAATTTGCACATTAATGTGCTCTTGGAGCAACATTTAATGAAAAAACAAGTGTAATAATTGGAGTAACAATTAGCAACATTTTAATTATAATATCTAATATTTCATAGAATATTGATGTATAATTAATTGACATATTCAATGTGTCTCCCAAAATGCCTGATAAACATGATTTGAGTCCTGATGTCCTCTACAGTGGACATGAATGAAATCAATGCCCTGTTCTGTAACAGAAAGTCATTTTTTGATTTGAAACCCCCATAACGTTGGTTTATGAAATTAAATTTGAAAAGTAGTCAGATTTAAATTATAATTACAATATATTATCATATTTCCATAAGAGTGCTACATTTGATCACTAAAGTAATGTCAGACATTTTTAAAGACCAAGGAGAAGTTGTTTTCGGTGAAACCTCCAAACATGTGGTATCTCTGAAAAGCCCTGAATGTGCCCTTTACAGGACACGTAACATGTGACATGTATGGTGTCAGAGAAATTCACTAAAATAGAATTCCTGGGTAATTCCTATAATTCCATATTCCTGGGTAGGCTAAATGTGGCTACTGTCGCTTTAAGATCCTTATTTCAAATGGCATCTAGACCGCACATTTGAATGCAGAACTGAAAAAAACCCCGCTTCATTTAGTATAGACTCTGAGGCGAACAACCAATATCCGTGAATGCTTTGTGAAAGAAACAATTATTATAATACCCGTTGGTAAGTCATATCGTTTTTATAGTATTTTGTTAACGAGGAAACCGCGTGACCTGCAGCTTTTTAAAGCCATTAGTATGCATTAGCCTATCACGAAAAAGTGTTGTCCGGATTTTGAAGGCAGTTGACAAATATCAACAGGCCTATATAAAGGTTATATAACTTACTCCCTTTTTCTGTTTGAATCACTGTTGTCTTATATATCCACTGTGATACGTGTTATTTCTTTATTTCCATCACATTTTAAAGTGAAAGTAATCATTTCCTCCTCACGAGTTGTTGCTTGGCTTGTTTTCATTGGCTCAAACATTTCAAATGAATAGGATAGAGTATATTTTACCGACTTGCATGCTTCATAAATTCTATGAAAACACCAAATTCATAAAACACTATGTCCATGGGGCTTTTTCTTGCATTTTATTTATAGATTGGATTATTTTATACCCTTGTCTCAGATTCAGAGTTTTATGAAAATCCATTCTAATAAAATATTAATAATTCCATGGTTATGTATTCCATTTCAGTATTTATCCACAAAAATGTTTAAAATGTAGGCCTAATTTTCTCGACCATCATTTCCATAGAATGCTATAAAACACAACATGTATTATTTGTTGGAAATAACGCTGGGGTTGAAATGTTTAGATGTTTCAGAGAAAATTATAAAAACTACAGAATTCTTGTGTGAGTGTGTCTATTGTTGGATATTGTTACACTTACAAAAACTTGTCAGAATGTGATGTTTTTTCCGTTTATTTCCTAAATCTGCGAGCCAAAAGTGCCCTTAGTTGAGGAAACACCCAAATGTATTGGTTTACAATGAGCTAACCATTTTTCTGCTTTTTCTGCTTCAGTTTGTTTTCCAAAGAATGCATGCAAGAAGCTGTGGAAATACAACCTACAAGATCTGAGTCTTGAGGAGTCTTGAAATGCTGTAGTCTCTCAGTTTTGATCTATTATCAACTCCATACTGTTTACTGTTCTGACACACATCAGACCATGCAACACCACAGCATTGGAAGTGTCTGAAGTTTGTGCTCAAAACAAAATAATACCAATGACATGTGAGAAATGTTTGCTCACTGCTCACATTAACTGAACAGAGTTAGATCTAAACTGTGACCATGTTCACTTTAAGGATTACTATTCTTACAATTATTATTCCTCTTAACTATGAACATTGTTTTTGTCGATGTGCTCATGCTGAATATGAGATAAACAAGCAATGCTGCCCCATGTGTTCCCCTGGTAAGACTGCAAGTTATCATAACTTAATTTCCCTTTCAATAGGCTACGGTTCACTCGCATTGGGTCTGAGATTTTCTCTGTACGCTATGGGGAAACTCAGTTTTCTCGGAATACTGAAGCCTGATTGGTTTACGTCTGTGAATTTCACAGACAAATGGCCTTTCGGCCCGTCAGAATGTGCGGGGCCGACTGCCTGTTTAAGTTGCACAGAAACAGACATCTAGATTTACTATCCTTCAGCGTGAAGACACATCTTCTCGCTGACTCCGAAGAAGAAGAATCTACTCGCCGTCGAGAATCAACAGAGCAGCGGATCAACGACGCTTCACAGCTCGCAGCTGGCTCAGTGCTTCTGCCCTGCGGATTTACGGCGAAAGCAAAGAGAAATTTCACGGCAAAAGCCGCGTAAAGAGCAAATTTCACGGCGCAAGCTGATTATAAAGAGCAAAGCAGCTTTTGTTGCAAAATGTTGCGCCACGAGTGTGGCTCATGCAGGAGGGACTGCCCTGCATCCCTCAGATGAGCACCTGTGGATCGCTTTCTTCAAAGAAAGGGATTCCTCCTCGCACTCTCTCCCATTCTCTTTCCCTCTCGAGCTGAGACGGAAGAAACAGTGGAGCCACGGGGCGGAACAACAGGGTGGCAGCGAGTTCACGTCGGCCCAGCGCCAATACCTTCGCCAGTGCTCTTCACCCGTGATGACCAACGCCTCTTCTGGCGCGAGCGGTATGGTTTCATTCGGCGGCTCAGAGGGCGATTGTGAAAACTCAATGTCTATAGCGGCATCTGACACTGAGGACTGGGTGAACTCCGGAGATGACTCCCATCCAGCCCCTAGAGAGACGGACTCAGCGAGACTTCAGCAGGACTCACCAAGGCAGTAACTGAGCTGGGCTTAGACTTCTCGGCTCCAGAAACAGCCCGACCGCTGCCGCCTCGATGAGTTTTTCCTGCAGCCAGTGCTCCCAGTGTTATTGCGAATCAAATAAAAAATAAACACCTTCACAAAAAGAGCATTTCAGAGTGCAGCAGGCTGCCATCTGCGGCTCTCCAACCCCTTTCCGCCCGAAGCCAGGCATGGGAAGCCATTCCGGGGGTGTCGAATTAGGTATTAGAGATAATAAAATGGGTTTACTCGCTCCAATTCGCTTGCAAAAAGTGATTTACACTTTGGTCTCGGACGCCAACTCTCATGTCCTCTGAGCCGAAGTACAGGTTTTGAAAAGGGCCCGATAGAAAAGGTTCCCGCAGCACACAGCGAGTCAGACATTTACAGCCACTACTTCCTCGTCCCCAAGAAGGATCCTCGACATGAGATCTCTGAACCGCGCTCTAATAAGACGGCCGTTCAGAATCCTAACTTTGAAACAAATCCTCTCGCAGATATGCCCAGGGGATTGGTTTTTATTTGTGGATCTGAAGGACGCATACTTTCATGTCCAGATAGATCCCCATCAAAGATTGTTCTTGAGATTCGCGTTTAAACGGGGTGGCTTATCAATAGTCCCACCATTCGTACTGTCTCTGGCACCACGCACCTTTACGAAATGCGTGGATGCAGCTCTCTCCCCACTGAGACTGAGGGGAGTTTTCGTCCTGAATTACCTTGACGATTAACTGCTCTTGATGAAAGGAGGAACTCTGAGCTCACAGATCTCTGCTCCTCAATCATTTAGAAAGGGGTTCAGAATCAACTTGAGAAAGAGCTGGCTGTCACCCAGCCAACGCATCGAGTTCCTGGGGGCAGTTCTTGACTCGTTCGAGAGGGCTGTCAGCAGCTAGCGACAGCTTTCAGCAACCTCCCTTTAAAGGCATTTCAGAAGCTACTGGGCCTCATGGCAGTAGCCTCTTCAATAGTACCCTTGGGCCTGTTACACACCCCCTCATGGTCCGCATGATTTGGAGCTTTTTCGACCTGGTGGAAGTGGATCTCTTCGCGTTGGAAGAGAATACCCACTGGCAAATATTCTTTTCAAAGAAAAATGACGCATTGGCCCCCTTTGCACCTCTATGCCTTCCCTTCGGTAGCACTGCTCCCTCAGGTCATCAGCCGAATCAGGGAAGGCAGATGCTCTGTCTGACTCGTGGCACCACTCTGGCAGAACCATCCGTGGTTCCCGGGAATGGTCCAGCTTCTGTCTACAGCACTGTGACCAATCCCTCTGAAAAAGGACCTCCTTTCCCAACTTCCCAAGTAAAAAGTGTCAATCTGGCATCCCCAACCCGAGTTGTGGTTACTTTAGTAACCGGAGATCGTGTTCATGACTCTGGGGGAGGCTTGGAGCCTCCAGTCGAGAAGCCATAGGTGGAGGCTCCAAGCCTCCCCCAGAGTCATGAACACGATCTCCAGTTACCAAAGTAACCTTGGTTCCCTGAAATAACAGGAATGCACAAATGCGCGAGTCGACACTATCGCAGTTCAGTCGAGAAAATCTGACCAGGTGGCCGTTTCTGTGCAACTTAGGCAGTCGGCCCCGTCCATTCTGGCGGGCTGAAAGGCCTTTCAGACGTGAACCAATCAGGCTTCAATATATGGCATTTCCCCCTAGCGTACAGAGAAAATCTCTGATGCAATGCTCATTCCCGTTATTTCAGGGAACCGAGGTTACGTTAGTATACTGAGTGTTTTATTTTTTTGTCTTTTATAGTTTTTTAAATCAGTATTCTTTTAATTATTATAATATTAGAAGCAAAGTTTGTTAAAATATATTACTTCAGTAAAAGTAATAATTTGTTTGGTTTAAAAAGTTAAATTGTAAAGTGCTTTTCTAATACTTATATTTCAAAACAGTAATGAAAATAATGTTCAGCTAGAAATCACACAATTTTCTTTTTTGTGCTGCTAGGAAATTGTGTTCTTTGGCACTGCACAGATGAAATCAGCACAACTTGTCTTCCATGCCCTCCATTAACTTTCACTGATGAACCAAATGGCCTCATGAAATGCTTTCCCTGTTCTGTATGCAATGCAAGTGAGTATTTCAAATTGATATCTGTTCATCTAAATTAACATTGATGGTGAAAAATTATGTCTGTAAATGCAAATAGTTGAATCTTTGCAAGTTAGTTGGTCTAGGAAAACTAAAAAATATAAGTTGCTTAAAATAATATAGTGTAAGTTGTAAGTGTAAGTTACTTGTAGTGTAAGTAACTCAGTGCTTTATTGTTTCTACTTACTCATTTCCATCCTAGACCGAGGTTTAAGATTGAATAAAGCATGTACTCAGTCATCAGATACTGTTTGTGGGCCACTGGAAAGATTCTACTGCATTGAAAAAAAGGAAATCAGCTGCATTTTTGCTGTGCAACACTCTGAATGCAGCCCTGGACAATATATCAAACAATCAGGTAAATTATAAAAACCTATGATATAAATGTATATGAGCAAAGCGCAACACTGATTATTGGTATCTGCAAAACAGGGAAAAAAAGGGAAGTTTTTAAGCAAATACACAGTAGTGGCTTTATGTTGAATTTCTCTGCAGGTACTGGCTCCACAGATACTGTGTGTGCTGACTGCTCAGGTGACACATATTCAAACGGATCTTTCTCATCCTGTTTACCACACACAAAGTAAGCGCTCGCTTAAACTGCTTGTATATGCTGTTTGTCATTTTCGATATCTGATCCTGGATATTATTCACAGATGTGATGCCATGGGACTTATTGAAACAAATCCAGGAACTGAATCATCTGACAGTGAATGTGGAAATCCCCCGACTGCTTCAACAGCCATTGCTATTAGTGTTATAGTTACTTTATTAATAATAATTACAGGAAGTGTTTTTACAATTATACGTATTCAGAAGAAGAAAACATCTACCGGTAATATATCAGGTAAACTTTTCTCACTTTGTTTCAGATATTTTGTAGTGTAGTGGCATATGAGACATTTTAAATTATAAATATAAATGTATATATATTGATGCATTTAACAAAAAAATGGTGATGTGTGAGATTATAACATTATACATTTTATTATAAATTTTAACTCATTCTGTTCACACAGGGATACAGGCATTGATTATTTATTGCTTTGTAATATAAAATTGACATTGAAAAAATAAATTAAACAAAAAACATTTGAACAAAAATGTGTTAATTTGTTTTTGTTCAAAGGAATTAATGAATGATTTAAATAAATGAGCAATTTAAACAAGTAAAACTACAGGGTAAAGGGAGCAATTCAGTTAATCAGCTTACATGATGAGAATCTTTAATGGCATAAATAAAATTTTAGATTTTAATTATGTGTATTATGTGACTGTTATTATGGTCTCCTGTGGTTTGACTGCGGAAACCCATGCAAGACGCACATTCTTCATGTTTGTGCAATCTATGAAAAGTAATACTTTCCTTCACTGTATTTTCAGACAGGATAAATGTTGAGCCAGACAGCTTGGAGGAACAAGCTATAAGAATCTGAACAACCCAGAAATGACTGCAGTTTTCACACAAATTGTCAAGACATTTTCAAGCCTGAAGTCCAGTGATTGGAGCAAGAAACAGTAGGCCTACTAAGTTGGAACAAAACCTTGCGTGAATCCATAATGTTAAACTGGTATCAGGCATTAATCTGAATTACTATGAACTACAGAAAAAAATTGCAACATCTAAATTAACAGGTTTTAACTGTTTATCACTGAATCAACCTAAATACATTAAAGTATTTCTGTCTTGACAACTCTCGGAGTGATTGGCATGGTAATGGGTATGACAATGTTGTATGTTTGGTCTTGGCGAAATAGATCTGCTACGCTGCTGCTTTTATTGCTGCTGCTGCTGTAGGTTATTGCTGCTGCGGCAGAGCAAGTATGGGACTTGCTACTGCCAATACATACACGACACGCCGCTGTGAGCAAGTAAGACTGTACAATATAGCGCACATGAATTACCTGTAGCAGATCTACAGTATACAGGTGGAGCTGGGGAAGGTGAAGGTTTCTGAAAGCGCGCTGCACTGCTAAGGCAAATGCTACCCAAGTATTTGAAGGTTGAGCAGCGAGCTCATTGGCTACTGATACAGCAGGAACCAATCAGCTGCGCCCTATAGATACAGTGTGATTATGAACAGGTGAGCAAAAGGACCTATTAGCCTGCACCATCTAGTTTCATGCCAGAAATTTGTATATCATGTTGTCATGATCACGGTCATGCTTAGTTTTGTTTACTTTCTTTATCATGGTTTTCATTGTCATTGCCTTAGTTCATAATTATGTATTCTTATTAGTTACACATCTGTTGTCTCATTGATCACCTATCCCTGTGTATATAAGCCCTCCGTGTCTTCAGTTCATTGTCTTGAGTAAATGTTTTGTTGTATTGTGTAAGACATCACTCTTTGTGTCTGTATATCGTTCAGCCTGTGTCACACATCATCCTTGGATCTTTACTATAAGCAACCCCTGACAGTATGCCAACAAAACTCATTTTTATTATTGAAATCAGGTGGAAATAGCTCTTCAATATAACAATTGCAGGTTGCCACTTTTTACACTATGTATAGACCTTAATAAAGAAATTAGTAAAAATTGAGCAGCAAAATGAACATGAGTGAATATTAGATATTTTACAAATGTACAGATCATATAACTGCATTAATAACTTTCTAAGCTTGTGTTCAGAAACACTTATGATTTAACACATTAACAATTTTGTATTCATTACAAAGTGTATTGACCATTGTCACTGGAAGACAATTGTTAATACATTAAATGATTGAAAATTAAATGTTAATACATGAAAATGAATAACTAACTCACTGTCATTCAGATGACCAGGCAAATGGACTGATAAATCTCTAGCACGACCTGTTAAAAAGTGCTGTTGAAGAGTAGGTGGGCCTTACTTTGGGTTGTTGTTAGGTTTTTAAAAAATATATTTAAACAGGCTACCTGGAGTGAAGTTATCTGTGCCTGTAAATATTAGTAAATTGACAAATATTTGTAACTATATATTCTGTAGATATTTTATTGCATTTATTTTTTTTATCTATTTGTATCTCGTGTTATTGTCATGGATTCAGCCAGGCACAAAAATCAATAAGAGCATATTATGAAATAAATTTAAATGGGCTACGTCCTCTTAATATCATCAAAAATGTTGTTCCAATAATGGATGAAAATTAGGTTAAACAAGGTTCAAAAATAATAAAGACCTGATTTTGCAATTGGATTTTTGTACAGAGAAACAAACAGAACCAACCACAATGAATTCAGGGCAAACAGAAACCATTGAGCCACTATTATTGTTTCTGAAGAAAGATAGGCTACACATTTCCAAAGGGATGGCCTGGCATCTCGAAATAAGTGCGAGTCAGAGCTTTGATTCACCACCGAGCCACACGGGGGCAATATGCGGCAATCCTCGCACTTCTCTCGTGCAGAAAAGCGCCAAACCGCTCTTTAATTCACCCTGGCAACGGCCGACAGACGCTATGGCAACCACTTCAGAGAGAATCCCTTCCTGACAATTAGCTAAGCCCAGTATTTTTATGATTATGAAAATAACAGTGTGTAGAGCATGTGTAAAAAATGTCAGAACTAGTTATTCTGTAAAATTAGCCAATGCGTTTGAAGCTTTAGCAGGAGAAAAGAAAGAGATTGAGTCAAACTGCTACAAAAAGTGTCTCTGTGTCATTGAGCGTCGAATTTTGTCAATATTCCGCATTTGATTTGAATTAGGTTTAACTGCGGGGATTATTTAACAACCCGTGAAGCTTTTAGACGTTTTCAGGGATGTTTGTTCACTGATCGACAGCCTCTAAAGAAACGTTACCTGGTAACGTTAACTTAGATTTTTAGTAAAGTTAGTGAAGAAACTTCGCATATGTCTGACTGGAAAAACGCTTTCGAGAGAAACCGAGTGATCCCACCTCACAGTCAAACCGCCAGACAAGCTCCAGGATCTCCTCAAGGTCTACAGCTGCACCTCAAACAAATCGATGGACTTCACATAAGACAGGTGGGGGTTTCATTCAGATACATATTATGTAAAAGTTAAGATGTATTGTTAGATCATGTTACTAGTCATAATTTCTCATATTTTTTATATTTTAAAGTACAAATATTCAATTTCCAGGCGTATTCTTAAAGGGACAGTTCACCCAAAAATGTTAATTCTTTCAGCATTTACTCACCCTCAAGTTATTCTAAACCTGCATTCAGTTCTTTCTTCTGTTGAACATAAAGGACGATAATTTGAGTAACTTGTATGTAAAAATGGTTGCTGGTCCCCATTGACTTCCATAGTACAGAAAAAAAAAATACTATGGAAGTCAATGGGGACCAGAAACTGCGTTACCTACTTTCTTTAAAATATCTTCCTTTGTGTTAAGCAGAAGAAAGAAACTCATGCAGGCTTAGAACAACTTGAGGGTAGGTAAATAATAATTTTCATTTTTGGGTGAACTATCCCTTTAGTTTAAGCCCATCAACTTCGATCACACTTTCAGACATTTTTCATTTATAATTCCTCCTAGTTTATAATATATATATAAAACTACTATATTATACTATATAATATAATATATAAAATAAAATAAATATGATTTATTTATAATTATTATTTATTTATAATTTCTTAATAATAAATATTATATTGTATAATTTATATATATATATATATATATATATATATATATATATATATATATATATATATATATATACACACTACTGTGTAAAAGTCTTAGGCACGTTAGTATTTTCACCCCCAAAAATGGTTTCAAGTCAGCTATTTATATCTTTTGGTGTAGTGTGTCAGTAAGAAATATCAGTTTACATTTCCAAACATTCATTTTGCCATTAATTGCAATAATCCAGTGAGATTTTTGTATGCACATGGAGTCTGACAACAGCCGGTGATCTGATCTCACCATCATCAAGTCTGTCTGTGATTACATGAAGAAATAGAAAAACCTGAGACAGACTAAATCCAGAAGAACTGCGGCAACATCTCCATGACGCCTGAAGAAACCTTCATGTAAAGCTACAGTACAGTGAAAAGTTTTAGGCACTTGTGGAAAAATGCTGTAAAGTGAGGATGCTTTCAAAAATTATTTTATAAATAGATTTTATTTCTATTAACTAATCAAACTTCTATTAACTAAATCAAATCAATATTTGGTGTGACTACCCTTTGTGTTTAAAACAGCTGTTGTCCAGGTACACTTGTGCATAGTTTTTCAGGTAGCTTTGCAGGAAGGTTTCTTCAAGCGTCTTGGCGATTCTTCTGGATTTAGTCTGTCTCAGGTTTTACTGTTTCTTCATGTAATCACAGACAGACTTGATGATGGTGAGATCACTGGCTGTTGTCAGACTCACTGTGCATACAAAAATATCACTGGATTATTACAATTAATGGCAAAATGAATGTTTGGAAATGTAAACTGATATTTCCAACTGACACACTACAGCAAAAGATATACATAACTTTAAAACGATTTTTTGGGGTGAAAATACTAAGATGCCTAATAGGGCTAGACCCGAAAATTCGTTCGGTGGGTTGGTGTTCGATTTTCAATTTTGGGATTCGAATATTAGTTTTTTGGTTTTGTTTTTTTTCGCACACCTTGCATCCCCCTCGAAACGGTTCTCATTCGTGCTTGAATATATTAACACTATAAAATCTGGCAAAATACAATACACTGTGACTTTTTTACAATTAATTATCTTATATAGCCTAGCCGTTTTTAATAGGATGGACAGTTGAAGGAACCCAACCTCGTTATACTTAATGAATATATTTGCTTCTTCTTAGCCTACTAAAAAAGTGTTCCCTGCAACTGGAGTATTCTCTGTCTAGAGCGGACAACTGCATGAGCTTGTATGGACAGTATGTTAAAACTCAAACATGAGATTTTACTGTGACGTCACATGCCCCAGTAAAATCGCCCATGAGTGAACGTCATGAATGTCATAATTCTGTTTATCTGGAAGAGAAGACAAAAATGCAGAAGACCTCAGCTGTGATTTTGTTTGTCAGAAAAATGTTAGACTACCTTATTAAAAGTATTGCTCTTAACAGACCTGTGTGTTTTGTATCACTAGTGCAGTGTCCATATATATATATAAATATACACTCACCGGCCACTTTATTAGGTACCCCATGCTAGTAACGGGTTGGACCCCCTTTTGCCTTCAGAACTGCCTCAATTCTTCGTGGCATAGATTCAACAAGGTGCTGGAAGCATTCCTCAGGGAGTTTGGTCCATATTGACATGATGGCATCACACAGTTGCCGCAGATTTGTCGGCTGCACATCCATGATGCGAATCTCCCGTTCCACCACATCCCAAAGATGCTCTATTGGGTTGAGATCTGGTGACTGTGGAGGCCATTTTAGTACAGTGAACTCATTGTCATGTTCAAGAAACCAATTTGAAATGATTAGAGCTTTGTGACATGGTGGAAGTAGCCATCAGAGGATGGGTACATGGTGGCCATAAAGGGA